TCTCTCAAGTCAAGTGTAAAAGTATAATTAGGCAGGCCAAAAAAGCACTTCAAGAACAACTAGCAAAAGACAAAAAAACTAACAGCAAAATTTTTTTTAGTACATCAGAAGTAGGAAGCCTGCCAAACAATCAGTGGGACCACTGGACAATCGAGGGGCTAAAGGAGCACTCAAAGAAGACAAGGCCATTGTGGAGAAGCTAATGAATTATTTGCATCCGTCTTAACTGCAGAGGATGTGAGAGAGATTCCTACACCTGAGCCATTCCTTTTAGGTGAAAATCTGAGGCACTATCCCAGACTGAGTTGTCAGTAGAGAAGGTTTTGGAACAAATTGGTAAATTAAACAGTAATAAGTCAGTAGGACTAAAGGGTATTCACCTAAGAGTTCTTAAGGATCTCAAATATGAAATTGCAGAACTATTAACTGCAATATATATTGCTTAAATACTAGATCACTGATGGATAGTTAATGTAATGCCACTTTTTAAAAAAAAGTTCCAGAGGCCATCCTAACTTCAGTACCAGACAAATTATAGTAAAGAATAGAATTATGAGTGAACATGATTTGTTGGGCAAGAGTCAACATGACTTTTGTAAAAGGAAATCACGCCTCCCCAATCTATTAGAAATCTTTGAGGAGGTCAGCGAACATGTGGACAAGACTTATTCCACTGATATTGTGTACTTGGACTTCCAGAAATCGTGTGACAAGGTCCCTCACCAAAGTCTCTTAAGCAAAGTGAGAACTCATGGAATAAGAGGGAAGGTCCTCTCATGGATCAGTAACTGGTTAAAAGATAGGAAACAAAGGGTAGACATAGATTGTCAGTTTTCACAGTGGATAGGAAAATAGCAGAGGCCTCCAAGGATTTGTAAGGGACCAGTGTTATTCAACATATTAAGAAGTGATCTGGAAAAAGGGGTAAACAAACAATGAGGTGGCAAAGTTTGCAGACAATACAAAATTACTCAAGATAGTTAAGTCCAAAGCTGATTGTGAAGAATTAGAAAGGAATCTCACAAAACTGGTTGTCTGGGCAACAAAATGGCAGATGAAATTCAATGTTGATAAACGCAAAGTAATGCAAATTGGAAAATGTAATCCCAATTATAAATACAAATTAATGGGGTCTAAATTAGCTGTTGCCACTCAAGAAAGAGATCTTGGAGTCCTTGTGGATTTCCACTCTGAAAACATACGCTCAATATGCAGGAACAGTCAAGAAAGCTAACAGAATGTTAGGAATGATTAGGAAAGGAATAGATAATAAAACAGAAAATGTCAAAATGCCACTACATAAATCCATGTTATGGCCACAACTTCAATACTGCACGTAGTTCTCGTCACCAATCTCAAAAAGATATATTGGAATTGGGAAAAGTACAGACAAGGGCAACAAAAGTGATTAGGATGTGGAACAATGTCTCGATGAGAAAAAAATTAAAAAGACTGTGACTGTTCAGGTTGAAAAGAGATGACTAGGGGGATATGAATGAGGTCTATAAAGTCATGAATGATGTAGAGAAAGTGAATGAGGAAGTGTTATTTACCCCTGTATATAATAGCATTACTAGGGGTCACCCAATGAAATTAATAGGCAGCAAATTTAAAACAACCATAAGGAAGTATTTCTTCACACAAGACACAGTCAACTGTGGAACTCATTGCCAGGGGATGTTGTGAAGACCAAAAGTATGACAGGGTTAAAAAAAGAATTAGATAAGTTCATGGAAGATAGGCCCATCAATGGTTATTAGCCAGGATGGGCAGGGATGTAACCCCCTGCTCTGGGTCTCCCTAAACTTCTGACTACCTGAAGTTGGGACTGGACGATGGGATGGATCATTCAATTATTACATTGTTCAGTTCATTTCCTCTGAAGCATTTGTCACTGACCACTGCTGGAAGGTAGGATACTGGGTTAGATGGACCATTGGTCTGAACCAGTATGGCCATTTTTATGTTCTCATGAATCTAATTTACACTGAGCCAGATTCAGAGGGGATGTGCATCTTAATTGAATGTCAGTAATTCAAACACCTAGGCTGTTTTAAATTAACTTTTTGGGGAAAAAGGGCCTGAGAGTTTTCAAGGATACAGTTCTTTTTGCTTACCTGACCTTAGAAGAGCTTAGTTCATCAGTTCTTGTTTGTTAAGAAATTTGCAGTCCGGAGGTTGGTGTTGGTAGTGCCATCCTATGCACAATTTCCTAGAACGTATAAAGATAGTGCATGTTGCTCGGGGATCTTCTTTTTTTTCCACTTAATTTTTTCACATCTCTTAGGGGCTGCAACAGACAAACTGATTTACTCCTGTTCCTGGTATATTTTCTTTTGTCTTCTGCTAGCTACCCTGATTTTCCCTCTCTTTCCCCTTCCCATTTCTCTGTGCTATGTGCTACATCATCCTATACCTGATGGTTAAAGCAGCAAGTTTGTCACGGAGGTCATGGAAGTCACAGATTCCGTGACTTTCCGTGACCTCTGTGACTTCTGCAGCAGTCGGTGCACCTGGCTCAGGGACAGCTCAAGCAGCCCCTGCATCAGGTGCACTGGCCACTGCTGGGGCAGTCTCAGGCCACCGCGCCTTCGTGCCCAGCAGCAGAGTTTGGGTGTGGTAAGGGGCAGGGTGAGTCGGTCTCTGGGTGGTACTTACCTGGGGGGATCCCCAGAAGCAGCAACATACCCCTTGCTCAGCTGGTTGGCGGAGGCATGGGCAGGCAGCTCTGCACGCTGCCTCCACCCAGAGTGCTGACTTCACACCTCCCATTGGCTGGGAACCGTGGCCAATGGAAGCTGTGGGGGCGGTGCCTGCAGGTGGAGGCGGCCATGCTTCCACCTAGCAGCTGAGTGAGGAGGATGTTGCCACTTCCAGGGAGCCCCCCAGGTAAGTGCCACCCAGATCCCGCCTCACCCCATTCTGTGCCCCAACCCTCTGCCCCGTCCCACACCCAAACTCTACTGCTGCTGGGGGGAAGGTGCAGAGCCAGGTAGGGAGCCTGCTGGCCCTGCCAACTTCCCTTTACCTCCCCCCCCAGCACCAGCGGGGGTCCTGGGCCATGCACTGCCGCCCGTGCTCCCCTATCACCAGCGGGGGTCTCGGGCCACATGCCGCCCTTTCCCCCACCCCCGCAAGCAGCTGGCCTGCCCTCCCCCAGCACTCGTGGGGCCTCTGGGCAGACCTCCCAAGTTTTATTCACTGGTATTTTTAGTAAAAGTCATGGACAGGTCACGAGCCGTGAATTTTTGTTTACTGTCCGTGACCTGTCTGTGACTTTTACTAAAAATACTCATGGTTAAAACGTAGCCTCACTGATAATTGCTGCTCCCACTTTTGCCTTTCCTCCTGAGCCAACAATGAATTCCATTTCTAACGTTGCTAGTCTCCTCTTCCACCCACGTCCCATCCCACCCTCTCATTCAGTCACACTCTTTGACACTCGCCTCCCCTGCCTAGTGCATCCTTCAGTGTTCTGGCTTCCCTCCCCTTTCTTACGGCTTTTCATCCTAGTTCCTGGTCTTTTTTGATCCCCATGGAATCAGGAGTGAGACATTAATAGTCACTGGCAACCAAGTTAATTTAGTTCTTGCTATTAAATCAAGGTTCAGATAAATTAGCTCTTCACTTGGTTGTGAAGGGTTAAAATGTTTTGGATATAGATTGAAGCAAATGAATTTGTATTGCTGGATGGATCTTCATATGGGAACTCAGAGTACTTTGATAATGGATTGAACAGTATGTAGTTTCCCAGTAATTTGTGTGAACATATCTGTATCTTCTTCTTTAAAACAATATTGTTACTTTTTTTACAGCAGTACTCCTAAATTTATGGCAACAAATATCCCTACACCAACAGTAACTCTTTATATTGGTGGAAAAACATCTCTTTTACAAATCTCTGGTAAATAATGCACTAGCACTTTCTATGTTGATATCTCTGTGTTCTGGATTTAAAGCACAAGCCTAAAATGTATAAATCTGTGCTTTGTTTCTGCTTTGAAATGTTATATGAATAGGGCTGGAAAAGTATCATTGCACATAACACAGATTTAAATCATTTTTCTGATAAGAATAGATCTAGTTCATATATCAGCCTTTACATTCTGTGAAATGTCAGAAAATTCAATTGCTCTCTAGTTTCTGTATGTCAAGTAGAGAATTTGTGTTACAGCCAAAGCTTTGATCAGTCTGATCCTCGCAGTCAGTGGAGTGGTACCAGTTGTGTACTGTGTTGTATGTGGAATTGAGCCCAGGAAAATAAACACTTTTAAGTCTTTAACGTAGCAGTCATTAAGCAGACAAACTTATTTTTATATTAATTTTCCACTGCTGCAATGTCTAGATGGTGACCGAGTTCTGACATCCTGTACTTCGGTTCCGCTGTTTCACTTCTGACCAGTGTTGATCTGGTGATGCCTGGCTGCTTGAAGCTACTCACTCAATTCTGATCTCATTTCACGCATTCTTGCATGTACAACAAAGTAATGAGGCTTCCATCTTATAAAGTAGGCACAGTATAAATGGAACAGTAAATCTATAGATATGTCCTGTTGGGAAAACTGTACACTTTTTCAGGTGGGATGATGATGGAGAAATACATTTAGAATAGTTCAGTTCAAAGCTGTATGTTAAAATCTTCTTTGTCACCTCTGCAACTGAAAATAACATATTCTGCAACTGAATGATGCCACATGTATATTGGATTAAAGAGGAAATCTGAAATAATGTATTTACACCCAGATAAAGGGAAAAATATGTAGGGAGGATAAAGGCTTACACCTGACACTTGCTTTCAGAATACTCAGTGATTTTGTGTGATTTCCAGTAAGCTTCCTAATTTAAATAACTGTGCTTTGGGAGACTTATACGGAACCAAGTGTTGAAAGAGTGCTCTTGGACACGAAAGCAAACATGAAAACCTGTAGAAAATGTGGCTGAAACTTGAAATGTAAAGGGAAAATTGCACTTGAATAATGTATTTATTCCATTTTTTTCAGGTTAAAGAAGCTTCTTGAACAGGAAAAAATCTATCAAGCCCGTAAGGAGAAAGAACACACAAAGAGACTCAATAAACTGAGAGACGAACTGGTCAAACTCAAGTCATTTGCACTCATGCTGGTGGATGAGAGACAAATGCATATTGAACAACTTGGTCAGCAAAGTCAGAAAATACAAGATCTTGCTCAGAAACTAAAGGAAGAAGAAGAAAAGCTTAAAGTTATTAGTTCAAAAACAAAAGAAGATGGACAAAAATTGATGAAGTTAGAAGCAGAACTTGAACACAAGACATTATCGTTTTCTCAAGAGCATGAGGAGATGACCGCTAAACTGGGTAATCAAGAGTCACATAATAGACAGCTGAGACTTAAGCTGGTTGGTTTGACTCGTAGAATTGAGGAGCTAGAAGAAACTAACAAAAATCTTCAAAAGGCTGAGGAAGAACTTCAGGAATTAAGAGATAAAATAGCAAAAGGAGAATGTGGAAACTCTAGCTTGATGGCTGAAGTGGAAAACCTACGCAAGCGTGTACTTGAAATGGAAGGCAAAGATGAGGAGATCACAAAAACTGAATCCCAGTGTAGAGAGCTGAAAAAGAAACTGCAAGAGGAAGAACATCATAGCAAAGAGCTGAAACTTGAAGTGGAAAAATTGCAGAAGAGAATGTCAGAACTGGAGAAGCTGGAAGAGGCTTTTAGTAAAAGTAAGTCTGAATGTACCCAGTTGCACTTAAATCTGGAGAAAGAAAAGAATTTAACCAAAGACTTAATAAGTGAGTTGGACATGGTGAAGACTCGAGTGAAAGATCTTGAATCTTCAGAAAGTAAGTTGGAAAAAGCTGAACTAAGCTTAAAGGAGGACCTTACCAAGCTGAAGTCATTTACTGTCATGCTGGTGGATGAAAGAAAAAATATGATGGAAAAAATAAAGCAGGAAGAAAGAAAAATTGAAGGTCTGAACAAAAATGTTAAGGTGGAACAAAGTAAAGTTATGGATGTGACTGAGAAACTAATAGACGAAAGTAAGAAGCTTTTGAAACTGAAAACTGAAATGGAGGAAAAAGTGTCCAGTTTAACAAAGGAAAGAGATGAGTTAATTGGGAAACTGAAAAGTGAAGAAGAAAAATCCTCTGAACTGAGTTGTAGAGTTGATTTGTTAAAGAAAAGAATTGAAGGTATAGAGGAAGTAGAAAGAGAAATAGCAAGAGGTCGAGCCAGAAAAGGACCAGAACTTGCTTATCATGAGGACAACAAGATTAAAGAACTAACCACTGAAATTGAAAGACTGAAAAAACGTCTCAAACAATTGGAAGTGGTTGAAGGAGACTTGATGAAGACAGAGGATGAATATGATCAGCTGGAGCAGAAATTTAGGACTGAGCAGAACAAAGCTAACTTCCTTTCTCAACAACTGGAGGAAATGAAGCTCCAGATTGCTAAAAACAAAGCAATAGAGAAGGGTGAAGTGGTGAGTCAGGAAGCAGAGTTGAGGCACAGGTTTCGGTTAGAAGAAGCTAAAAGCAGAGATTTGAAAGCAGAAGTGCAAGCTCTTAAGGAAAAAATTCATGAGCTGATGAACAAAGAAGACCAGCTTTCCCAGCTCCAAGTTGATTATTCCGTTCTTCAGCAAAGATTTATGGAAGAAGAAGATAAAAACAAAAATATGGGTCAGGAAGTCCTGAACTTAACAAAAGAGTTAGAGCTTTCTAAGCGTTATAGTCGTGTCCTCAGACCCAGTATGAATGGTAGAAGAATGGTAGATGTTCCTGTGACATCCACTGGGGTGCAGACTGATGCAGTAAGCAGTGAAGCAGCAGAAGAAGAAACCCCAGCCGTGTTTATAAGGAAATCCTTCCAAGAGGAAAATCACATTATGAGTAATCTGCGACAGGTAGGGCTGAAAAAACCCATAGAGCGCTCGTCTGTGCTTGACAGGTATCCCCCAGCAGCAAATGAGCTTGCAATGAGGAAATCCTGGATACCATGGATGAGAAAAAGAGAGAATGTGTCCCAGGCAGCTCATGATAAAGGAGCCCGAACATATGGTGGCCCTGGACATCCTGGAGAGGTTGTCCTTTCCCCAAAGCAGGGGCAACCTCTTCATATTCGGGTGACTCCAGATCATGAGAATAGTACAGCTACTCTGGAGATAACTAGCCCAACATCTGAGGAATTCTTTTCAAGCACCACTGTCATTCCAACCTTGGGAAATCAGAAGCCACGGATTACCATCATTCCCTCTCCAAATGTGTCGCAAAAAGGAAAAGGTGGTGAGAGTTCAGTGGGCCCAGAGCGTGCTATGTCACCTGTTACTATAACTACATTCTCCAGAGAAAAGTCCTCAGATGGAGGGAGAGCTCCTTTCATGGAAAGACCCACATCCCCAATTCAGATTATGACAGTATCTACGTCTGCAGCACCAGCAGAAATCTCTGTCTCTCCAGAATTGCAGGATATGACCATGGGAAGGGCTGTTTTCAAAGTAACACCAGAAAAACAAACTGTACCAACCCCAATCCGGAAGTACAATGCCAATACCAACATTATAACAACAGAGGACAACAAAATTCACATTCACTTAGGTTCTCAGTTTAAACGCTCCCCTGGTGCTGCTTCTGAGGGAGCTAGTCCTGTGATAACAGTCAGACCAATTAATGTTGCAGCAGAAAAGGAGGTTATGACTGGTACCGTCCTTCGTTCCCCCAGGAACCATTTCTCCTCCAGGCCTGGAGCAAGCAAAGTGACAAGTACCATAACTATAACTCCAGTTACAACATCATCCACACGAGGAACACAATCAGTGGTAAGTAGCAGAGAATTCCATGGGATATCTGCCCAGACTCATGGTGGGGAGATGGGAAGCCATAAAATGGACTTGCTGTGAGACCGCCTTGTAGAAGAACAGTTGCAAAAAACTGTTAATGTTACTGATTTCACTGGAGTTATTCTGGATTTCAACTGGGATAACTAGAGCAGAATTTGCCCTGTTGTATTTTAAATGGTCCATTTTGGCATTGTCTCATTATAATCACTTGAGGTGAGCCTTATGAGGAAGCTCTTGCAAAGCTGTAGGAAATGAGAGAATGATGGTGCTGTAAACTTTCCTATGGTGGTTGGGGGAGGTGGACAGAGAGAAAGAGGGGGCAATGCAGAGAGAAACCCTGCTTCTATTTTTTGTAGGTGTCAGTTCTTAACTTAGTCCATTGTGCTTAGCTAGTGTATAGTTCTCAACTAATTGATATGATGTATGTAGCAATACAATACCCAGTGGGGTGAATAAAGAACAGAGTTTCAGAGTAACAGCCATGTTAGTCTGTATTCGCAAAAAGAAAAGGAGTACTTGTGGCACCTTAGAGACTAACCAATTTATTTGAGCGTAAGCTTTTGTGAGCTACAGCTCACTTCATCGGATGCATACTGTGGAAAGTGTAGAAGATCTTTTTATACACACAAAGCATGAAAAAATGGGTGTTTACTACTACAAAAGGTTTTCTCTCCCCCCACCCCACTCTCCTGCTGATAATAGCTTATCTAAAGTGATCACTTTCCTTACAATGTGTATGATAATCAAGTTGGGCCATTTCCAGCACAAATCCAGAGAGAAAATCTTTTGTAGTGGTAAACACCCATTTTTTCATGCTTTGTGTGTATAAAAAGATCTTCTACACTTTCCACAGTATGCATCCAATGAAGTGAGCTGTAGCTCACGAAAGCTCATGCTCAAATAAATTGGTTAGTCTCAAGGTGCCACAAGTACTCCTTTTCTTTTTAAAGAACAGAGTGAGAGATTTAATTCTGAAGTTCCTGGATCTTGTCTGTTTTATGGCATGGTTTTAACTTTTTCTTAACTGTATAAAATGGGGGGGCGGACACAAAACTCTGCAGAACCACCAGTTATACAGGGAGGATATTTCTATAGGGTCAAGCATGTAATTTTTAGGAGTCCTCCCTGAGCTGTGAAATACCAAGATGGTGGCTGTAATTTCATGTCTGGGCCATTTAGGACATAGGGGTTTGTTTTTTTTTAATTGACATCCCCTCTAGTCTGTCTAACTATTTTTATTTTCCAAAAATCTATATAAGTGTCTCCAGCAGGCTCAATTTGAACGAAATTACAGACACTATCTTGGAAGTGCTGATGTGGTTGGCTAACTCAAGCAAGTCGCAAAAATCCATGATTAACAGTCCTGTAATTTCCTCATCAGTGTGTTCCACACACCTTCTGTGCCATTTTTACAGGCCTGGGACCCAATTTTCTATTTCATTATCACTGTTCTTGCCCCCTCTGTAGCACTTTGCCACTCACATATTAAAAAATGTTACAAGAGATAATGTGCAAGTGACATAGCCATTCTCAGATAGTAATAAAGTACACTCAAGAGGATGTGTGTTATAACCTGCTTAAGAATATGCTAACCTTTCAAAAAGTCCAAATCACTGCTGTTTATTTAAACTAACCAACCATCCTCATTGTGAACACTTTGACTAGTATACTTGTAGTCATGTCTGCCTGTTCTGCAGTGAGCCACCATTATGGGCATAAATAGCCTGGCAGTTGCATGTGTTTACTCCTCCATTAAAATTTAGTTCTGGGTACCTATAATGTTCCACTAGTGTGTACTTCTGGGAATAGAACAGCTTATCTTCACTCTGCAAGTCCTAATGAGGCAGAAGTTATAGGTGTCCTGTAACTTCATAAAAGTTTAGAGAGCCAAATTCTGGCTGATGCTGTATATTTGCATAAAGCAGAAAAAAATGCAGTCACCTGCAAACATGCGGGGCAGAAGGGAACCAACCGGACACTGCATCCTGCAAAATGATACCAAGGGACAGCACTGTAGGTTCTCTACAACTGACACTGTTAAGGCAGAAGCAGCTTTAGCCATTTTCCCAACCACCAAAAAAATGTTTTAGATGCTCCCCATAAGCAGCTGAACCCCGGAAAACACCACAGCTGGCCAATCAGCAAAGGGGAGGAGCGAGAGAGAGAGAGAGAGAGAGAGAGAGAGAGACACATACAAGCGGCACAGGGGTACAGCACACCTTGGAAGTTGGCATCTAAGGCAACCACACTTGCCCGCCCATAGAACCAGCACTGGCTGAGGCTGTTTGAAGCCCAGTCTGCATGTTTATTCAGTCACATTGGCCAGACAGTGGAGACCTGCATACAGCTAATTTTCCCTTCACTTAGCAGGGAAAACATGTGTTTGGAGTTGTGTGTTGAGCTGGTGTCAGCTATGATCTGAGCGATGTGTTAGTGTGCCTCTTTGGGGACTGTGTGGGGCAGAGTCAAAATACTTTAAAATGGTTTTTGAGTGTTTTAGATATGAAACTAGTAACTCTAGAGTGCCAGAATCTTCAGTTAATAATTTACGTGTCGTTAAAACTCAAGAAATGCCTGACATTCCAGCTACTTCATTTAATAGCTGTATGTTTACACACCGGGGAATGCTTTCAGGGAGTGCAGGATGTTTGTCATTTTGGCTCCAGGGTATGTTGACATATTTTCCAACTCCAATTGACTGTATTTGCATGTTGTGCCATACAATGTTCCATGGTTCTTACTTGTTTTGACATAAAAATGTGAGTTCCTTTAAATGTTGTTGTAAACACTGCTTTTGATTGTTGAAAATGGCTTGCTTCCCATCGGTCTGTCAGTATTCAAATGTCCCAATTGTGATTTCATTTATTTTATTTTGTGTATGTATGCATGTGGTTTTGTACTGTTCTTGGAACATTAAGTAATGGAGAGCGCTGATTGACTGGTAAGGATGGTGGTAGTTTGCCTCCTTTTTGGAATGCTCTGTACGTATAAACAGGACCCTGTGTGCTCCATGGCAACTTGAAACTAAACTCTATGGCAGGGGTCCTAGATTCTACTGCAGTCTGGTGCAGCAGGGAGGAGATTCTGTGGCAGATTCATCTGATAATTTTAAACTAAGGTTTGTAATGTGCAACTAAATGCTACAATCAACAAAGTGACCCCAACACTGTTTATTTTGTTGACTCAATTTCATTTATGTTGTTTCCACATTTGCTGCTTTCAATGTGCTGCTGACTTGGTCTTCACACTGCAAAATTACTATGTAGAAATTGTCAGGGAACCTGGAAGTATTTTAGCCTCTAGGTGGAGGATAGCTGGGACTTCTGGAACCTGAGGAGGTGTTCTGGGAGTTTGGGATTAGGACAATAACTAATTTTTTTTTTCTGTTTAAAATGATCAGTGGTGAAGCAGTTAATATTGTTAATTAAGCTTCAAATTTAACAGCCCACTGAGATAAATAGGGCAATGGATGTGCTATGCTGCATCAGTTTACACTTGCATTATGTTTTGTTCTCAACCATGAAGGAAGGCTATGCACGTTTTCTCTACATGATGATTAGATTCTGGCCTATAGTTCTATGGCAAAAAATGGCTTCCAAATTCTTTTGCTGCAGAATGCATTGGCCTGTCAGAGGAACAGGAAATAGTAAAGACCTATTAGGTTTCTAGTCCATCTCTTCCTGTAGAGGTGCTGGTCTTGTCTACATTAATGTAGGTGAGAGAGTAGAGACTTTCTCTCCTTTTCCTCTCTTTTTCTCAAAAATAAAAGAGTAGGCCAATTCCCTGGATCTGAATGGCTCCAAACTTTAGGAAAGTATGGATCCAGAGCTTTGTACCTGATCCCCATCTCTAATGAGCCAACCCAAAATACTGGATCTGAACACCAGAAAACTAAGGTCTAGATCTTACCTCTGCATTTTGGGTCCGTCTCTAGAATGATATTCACCATTGTGCAGTAACTGTTCTGGTACGAAGTGTCTTCTTCACCGTTTCGTTTTGTTTCATGCCACTAATATTTAAATATGCTGCAAAGGGGACAACCATCCTTATACCAAAGGAGATGCCCTGATTCAAAAGTTGAATACTAATTAAATAATTTCGGTGCCCAAAGTGACCTGGTTGCCCTAGATAGTGATTTTCTGCCACTGTTGAGAGTAACCGAGGCACTCAAACTGGGACCCTCCCAAGAAAAGTGAAAGGGAGCTGCGTGGCAGGGCATTCCTTGTGAGGGGTACGCCATTTTGGAACTTGCTCCCCACCACTAGTACACAAGAGCCTAGATTTGTTAACCTTCTGGGTCTTGCAAAGTCCATCTTTTCTCTCTCTTTGTTAAGGAGAGCCTGGGTTGGGGTGGATATATTTCATTAGTGGTGCCCAGTGCACTGGATAGGTGCTTCAAGGCATATTTTAAAAATTTGAAGAAACAAATAAGGAACTGTACAGATTTAGGATCTGTTAAAGAAAAAATCCTAAAAATCTTGCTAACAATTATATCCTTTTTCTTTCCTTTCTCTCTCTTGCAGACAGGACAGGATGGGTCATCACAGAGACCTACACCCACCCGTATTCCTGTGTCAAAAGGTATGAAAGCAGGAAAGCCAGTAGTGGCAGCCCCAGGAGCAGGAAATGTGACAAAATTCGAGCCTCGTGCCGAGACTCAGTCTATGAAAATAGAACTGAAGAAATCTTCAGCCAGCAGCTCTGCCTCCCTGGGCGGGGGGAAGGGCTGAGGGCAGTGGCTAAGGGGGTATGTTGTGCAGGTTTTACTGCTACCATGGAAATCAACCCCCTGTCTGTTAGTTGCTGGTGTTTGCATTTACTAATTAAGTCCTGAAACTGTCACTTAACATAACAAACTAATAGGTGTGTGTGTCTTGACTTTAATTTAACAATATAATTTTGTTTGTATGCTGGGCTAAAAAGCTATTTGGAGGCTGATAATGTTTGCAGACAATGAAATCAGACTGAGCAGCCTCACTTATACATTGATCTAATTCTGGGTTATTGAATGTATTGATAGGGTGGGCCACTTCTTAAGAAATTGTCTCATGGGACCACCTTCCATCTCACTCACAATCAAATAGACCACTTTCCCTCCTTTTTCATGATCACTTAACATTCCTGAGACAACTAAAGCATTGCTTGCCTAGAGAAGTAAAGCTAGAAAAGCTATGTATTTTTAGGTCTCTTTTAAAGAAGTCTCATAGCTAGAAAAACAAAGAGGAAGAGCCAGCACCATGTGACCAGCCATCTCTCTATGGATCAGCAGCGATTCACAGACTACACTTTGGAAAGCTCTGATCTAATTGATTTTTTGTTACAGCCACCATTTGGGCCTGATCCAAAACCCATGGAAGTCAATGGAATTACTTTCTTTGGGCTTGTCTATACTTTCGGCTAGATCGGCACTGCTGTGAGCAATGCAGCGGTGTCGATTTAGAGGGTCTGGAGAAGACTTGCTAAGTCAATGGCAGAGTGCTCTCCCATTGGCTCCTGTACTCCAGCTCCTCGAGAAGAGTAAGGTAAGTCGGCAGGAGAGCGTCGCCCATCAACACAGCGCAGTGTAGATACCGCGATAAGTGGGTCTAGCTATGTCAATTTCAGTTACGTTATTCACGTAACTAAGTAGTGTAACTATGGCCTGGTCTACACTGGCGGGGGCAGAGGGGAGATCGATCTAAGTTACCCAACTTCAGCTACGTGAATAATGTAGCTGAAGTTGACGTACTTAGTCCTACTCACCGCGGTATCTTCACTGCGGTGAGTTGACTGCTGCCGCTCCCCCGTCGACTCTGACTGCGCCTCTTGCAGCGGTGGAGTACAGGAGTCGACGGGAGAGTGCTCGGGGATTGATTTATCGCATCTAGACTAGACGCGATAAATCAACCCCCGCTGGATTGATCACTGCCCGCCGATCCGGCGGGTAGTATAGACATACCCTTAGATTGATTTACCGTGGTAGTGTAGACAAGGCCATTGACTTCAGTTTACTTTGGATCAGGCCCATAATTAGAAAGTGTGCTGTAATTTGACTTCAGCTATCTAGAGTTCTTCTGTCTTAGAACAGTCCTTAATACAGTTAATGGTGCAAATTAATTGATGGAGAACTCTGCTCAGATACAGAGGGTAGGGGACAGAAGGCTTTGCACCCAACTTACCCTGAATTCCAGCGTGTTCCCTGAAGTTTGGTACGTGTCTATCTCAAATACAGACCCAGTTTACAGTGCTATGGCATACCAGTTTGTGTTCTGTTTTGTTCTGGTTATACTGAAGTATTTGCGTTTTTTCCGTTTGTGTTTTTTTTAGCATGTTTTAAGGAAATATTTCAGCATGGAAATGGGTGTGGATGCAAATGATTGATGTCATTATTTTGTTTGTTAGCACCATAATTGTCAAGGGAATTTCCCCAGAAAACTCAATTTCCACACAAGTAAGATACAATAAAGGAACTACGGGTTGAAGTAACTCGGCCAGGGGTGCATTTTAAAAATATATAATGATTCAACCATTTGAATGAGCTATTAAGAGTCCCACAACTATGGGTTCCCTTGCTGGAGGAGAGAAGAGAAAGGAAGATGACTGATGCAGCATGAAGAATACAAGTGTAACTCAAAATGAATGGGAGGGAGAATGCGAAGTGAAGAAGTTAAGTGGCTGAAGGAACCAAATTCAGTTAATAGGATGTACAGGGTCAATGCAATGAACCAAGGGATTGGGGGATTAGTTTCTCTTGTGAAGGAGAGGTTGAAAGATGAGTCTGTCGGTGAAGGGCAACAAAAATGTGTTTATCCTTAATCCATACTTTTGGCTGCTACTCTATTAAAGATCTAGATATTTCTATTACCCCAGCCTCACTATCTTGAAGGCATTCTTATTCTTCTTTCATGCACAACATGTCCTTCTGATGAACATCACAAAAATAAAAGGAGTACTTGTGGCACCTTAGAGACTAACAAATTTATTTGAGCATAAGCTTTCGTGAGCTACAGCTCACTTTATCGGATGCATTCAGTGGAAAATACAGTGGGGAGATTTATATACATAGAGAACATGAAACAATGGGTGTTACCATACACACTGTAACGAGAGTGATCACTTAAGATGAGCTATTACCAGCAGGAGAGCGGGGGCGGGGGGAGGGGGAGAACCTTTTGTAGTGATAATCAAGGTGGGCCATTTCCAGCAGCTGACAAGAATGTCTGAGGAACAGTGGGGGGTGCGAAGGGGGAAATAAACATGGGGAAATAGGTTTACTTTGTGTAATGACCCATCCACTCCCAGTTTCTATTCAAGCCTAAGTTAATTGTATCCAGTTTGCAAATTAATTCCAATTCAGCAGTCTCTCGTTGGAGTCTGTTTTTGAAGTTTTTTTGTTGAAGAAGTGCAACTTTTAGGTCTGTAATCGAGTGACCAGAGAGATTGAAGTGTTCTCCGACTGGTTTTTGAATGTTATAATTCTTGATGTCTGATTTGTGTCCATTTATTCTTTTACGTAGAGACTGTCCAGTTTTACCAATGTACATGGCAGGGGCATTGCTGGCACATGATGGCATATATCACATTGGTAGATGTCAGGTGAATGAGCCTCTGATAGTGTGGCTGATGTGATTAGGCCCTATGATGGTGTCCCCTGAATAGATATGTGGACACAGTTGGCAACGGGCTTAGTTGCAAGGATAGGTTCCTGGGTTAGTGGTTCTGTTGTGTGGTGTGGTTGCTGGTGAGTATTTGTTTCAGGTTAGGGGGCTGTCTGTAAGCAAGGACTGGCCTGTCTCCCAAGATCTGTGAGAGTGATGGGTCATCCTTCAGGATAGGTTGTAGATCCTTGATGATGCATTGGAGAGGTTTTAGTTGGGGGCTGAAGGTGATGGCTAGTGGTGTTCTGTTATTTTCTTTGTTGGGCCTGTCCTGTAGTAGGTGACTTCTGGGTACTCTCCTGGCTCTGTCAGTCTGTTTCTTCACTTCAGCAGGTGGGTATTGTAGTTGTAAGAATGCTTGACAGAGGTCTTGTAGGTGTTTGTCTCTGTCTGAGGGGTTGGAGCAAATGCGGTTGTATTGTAGAGCTTGGCTGTAGACAATGGATCATGTGGTGTGGTCTGGGTGAAAGCTGGAGGCACGTAGGTAGGCATAGTGGTCAGTAGGTTTCCGGTATAGGGTAGTATTTATGTGACTATCACTTATTAGCACCATAGTGTCCAGGAAGTGGATCTCTTGTGTGGACTGGTCCAGGCTGAGGTTGATGGTGGGATGGAAATTGTTGATATCATGGTGGAATTCCTCCAGGGCTTCTTTTCCATTGGTCCAGATGATGAAGATGTCATCAATGTAGTGCAAGTAGAGTAGGGACATTAGGAAGCATTGTTCTAAGTCAGCCATAAAAATGTTGGCATACTGTGGGGCCATGCGGGTACCCATAGCAGTGCCACTGATTTGAAGGTCTACACTGTCCCCAAATGTGAAGTAGTTATGGGTGAGGACAAAGTCACAAAGTTCAGCCACCAGGTTTGCCGTGACATTATCGGGGATACTGTTCTTGATGGCTTGTAGTCCATCTTTGTGTGGAATGTTGGTGTAGCGGGCTTCTACATCCATAGTGGCTAGGATGGTGTTTTCAGGAAGATCACCGATGGACTGTAGTTTCCTCAGGAAGTCAGTGGTGTCTCGAAGATAGCTGGGAGTGCTGGTAGCGTAGGGCCTGAGGAGGGAGTCTACATAGCCAGACAATCAGGATTGTCACCACTGACTTCCGCCCCCGCTCTCCTGCTGGTAATAGCTCCTCTTAAGTGATCACTCTCGTTACAGTGTGAATGGTAACACCCATTGTTTCATGTTCTCTATGTATATAAATCTCCCCACTGTATTTTCCACTGAATGCATCCAATGAAGTGAGCTGTAGCTCACGAAAGCTTATGCTCAGATAAATTTGTTAGTCTCTATGGTGCCACAAGTACTCCTTTTCTTTTTGCGAATACAGACTAACACGGCTGCTACTCTGAAACCATCACAAAAATATTGATTCTGATTTTCACAAATCCTCAAGCATCTTCCATTAACATGCATCTCCAATTAACTTTGGAAATGTAGGTGTTAGGACATCTGAAAAACAGACTCATGACTTTATATATATATAATTTCTCTAATAGCAGAACCAAACTTGGAGCTTCTTCTTGGGAACTTGTGAGTTAATGACCAGAAGTGCATCAACTCTTTCCAGCTAATTGTTATGCGCAATAAATGACCCATACCTCAATTTGTCAATTAATCATTAGTGAGTTCTTATTATTATTTCTAATGTATCAGAGCTTTTTCAACAGACGTTCTAAACATAATAACATGAAGCTAAAAGTTCATTATCACACTAAATGCGGAGCTAAACCAAAGCTTCCACTCAGTTAAAAACAGTAATTTTAAATGCTGCAAAGTAGATGAGCCTCCTGGTAATGTGGCATGATACAGTAATGAACTATAGATGGCTTAAGCCTTCTTTTTCATAGCTTTTAAAAAGAAACTAGGTCTTCCTAACTTAAGTGATTATATATATGGGACAATAGTCCAAATGTGCCTGCGTTTGAAAGCAGCATCTCTTTTGGATGGGATTTGAGAGACTACTTTATCTGAAGAAGAAACCATCAGATGGAACTGGATATCCAGTGCCACCACAGCACACCTAGAATTGGAGAGGCAAACTAGAACTAACACTTGTGGAGTTATCAGGGTATGTGAGAAGGAATGCAGCAACAGAATTGACAAGTCAGACTAGTATTTTGAGGATTCACTAGCAGATCCCACTGCCAGGACCAGACCAGAGAAAAATCTCTGATCCACAGCCAACCTAGCAAAAGGTCAAGGAATCAGAATCAGTCAAAAGGGTGTTTCTGAAACTAATCTGGAAAAAAAAACCCACAAACAAACAAAAAATAACAACTTGTGAATATTGGTAGGAAAAGACCCTGAAAACATACTAACCTTGTTTAAATATTAGCAAGAAGAGGGCAGGTCACAATTTACAAAGGTTCTCAAAAGGAAAGAAAGATAAAGTGTAAGGGTTGATGTAAGCCAAAGGGTAATGTAAATTATTTACTAAATATTGACGTGTAAGAGTTTATTGGAGGTTCATGGAAATGAAATATTTTGTATAAACTGGAGAAAACTGTATGCCTCTAAGTACTTATGAATATCTGTTTTAAGTTTAGTGTATATCTTTGGTTAAAAAATTAGGTGAGTTCAGCATTTTGTAATATGTTTTCATTTACCTGAAGTTTGCTACTTTAAGTAGAAAATGGGCAAGGAGGGAATTGCAAAAAAAAAACAAAAAAAACCAAAAACCTTGTAGCACAAAAGTCTTAAAAAGTTGAATCTTAGCTATCTTGATCATACAGTTCAGAGTGCCTTTTCCTCTGAAGATAGCAATCTAGTTACTGACTACAATAAGATAAGTCACTCAGCACCTTACAAACGTTGTCTAGTGAAAGAAGCATGACTGTTACAATAATTATGTCTGTGAGAAAAGTCACAGAACAATGAGTCAGGTTACATCACAAAAGTGTTTCAGCATCTATGTGTGGAGTTAAGGACAGAGTAACCTCCCTAACTGAATTTCCCTGTATTTGATTTTAAATCTGATCGTTAACACAAGTTTTCTACTGGATTATATGGGGCCAGATGCTGTCACCCTTACTCATACTAAGTACAGCTTGCTCATGTGAATTGTCTCATGGCCATAAACAGAAATACTGATCTAAGTGCTGCTCAGTGTGAGAGAGGTTGCAGAACTTGGTTCATCATGACATGCAAGCTCTAGTCTAAAGGGTTTCTTTCATTTTTAAAATATGCTAAGCAACCAATATCTTGACTTCTTATGGCCACCTTGATCTTTAGTTGTTTACTCTTTTCGTTTTGTGATCACAGTCCTTCACTGTTATTAAAAAAGCAAATAACATTTTGTGACTTTTATAAATATGACCATACAGAATGTACATGACAGTATTTAAACTTTAAACCACTTACTTGGGGATTAATATCATGTGCATAATCTCTAAAACAGCATTGGTCTGCAAAGGTTCATGCCAATTATAGACTAAATACCAGATTATTACCTAAAACATATTAAACGTGTTTTCAGATCCTCTCAAGGTTAACACTAATGTTCGGTGACTGGTCAGAATTTCAAGAGCACATCTTTAAAGAGGGAAGGCTACTGTCCTACCATGTTTCAGGTTTTCAACACCGGCTACAATAATAAGGATGGTTTTCAGACCAATTATATGTTCCTATCGCATATCAGTTGCTGACATCACTAAGTCAGTTTGAAACCTGTAGTGTGCTGGCAGTGATTTCGATGAGCTCATCTTTTAAACTTGTTCTCATTTAGGGGAATGTTTTTCTCTTCCATCTGTGTGAGTAATTCCCTTCAACTGAGCTCTCCCAGACAGAGCTCTTTCTAACATTTGTCATTATAGATGTTGACTTCACTTTGAAACTATCTTACTACTTGGTCTCTGCTCTTCTTTGGCTTTTTGGAAAGGGTTAACTACTTTCAAATTGGGAGCTATCAGCTGCAGGAACAACACCATGTAGGACCATGTGTGGATTTATTTTATTTTATTTTTTGGCTTCTTGCAAGATAGAAGTATGAGCAACTCCCCATATTAAAAACTCTTCTGAACATGATTTTAAAAGTTCAGAAATAGTTACATTGGTACATGATGTTCCACTTTTGTCACTGGGATTTACATTGTCTCCAGTACATCTTTTTGTATAATTTGGTTTTATCCATTCATGTAAATTGTAAAAAGAAATTTAATTTATATTTCAAATGTTAAAATGTCAGGTGATTTGCTTTTATTATCAGAATTGGTGAGACTTTATGCAAATTGTTCGCTATGGGCCAGATTCTAAACTCATTTACAACAGTGTAAATGCAAATAACTACAACGACCTCTGATTTATACCAATATAATTTAAATCTGAATTTGCTCCTATCCATACAGATGTCTTCATTTAATTTTTTCATTAGAGTAAATTAATTAAGTTTTGTTTCTTTAAGTAAATCTATAGCTCATGGAAGCTGTAAAATTTATAGTCCCAGAAGCACTCTCTCTAGCCATTGCCAGATTATTCCTACTCACTGTGCCAGAATATATCAGGGGTGGTCAAACCATGGCTCGCAAGCTGCATGTGGCTCTTTTACAATTAAAGTGTGGCTCATGGAGCCCCTCCAGGCCCTCCCTTTTCCACCTACCAGACAGGGCATGAGGGGACGTTGGGACCTCTACCTTGCAGCAGGGTGATGGGGTAGGGGCTTTTGTCCAGTGAGGAGGGGGGTCTTGGGACTTCAGCCCCATGGGGTGCACCTACTGGGACTCAGGGCTCAGCAGGAGCGGGCTGAAGCCCCAAGGCCTGGCAGATACTCAGGGCTCAGCAGGTGCACCCCAGCTCCCCAATTTCTGAAGATTGTTGTATGCGGCTCAGAGTGTCAGTAAGTTTGGCCATCCCTGGACTATACCCTATGAAAATTTTAGACAAACACCTCTTTGGACATCTATTTTAATAGCAAGAATACATACATTACTACAAAGTCAAATGTTAGAAGGGGTGAGGTGTAAGAGAAATTAGTGAACACATGAATAATGGAAGCATACACAATGTATGAATTCTTAATCCTCTCTAGTCTCTGACCTCCTCCTGCATACTTGTTATGTTTGGTCTATAAGAGGAAGACTTTAATTTTGAAACCTTACTATAGTTACGCTGTTCAGTTATTAATTGGACCTGTACAAGGAAGAAGACATTTTCTGCCTACCAAATTTTTGTTTTTAAATTGTAAATTTTTGTCTTCAAACTCTGTGTATAGACATATTATGTATATACTGGATATTAAGAACCATTTTCTTAAAATAAGCTCATGTGACTCCCACTGAAATTAATAGATGTGTTTGGAAATGAGTAAAATTTGATGTTAAGCAAATACAGCTTTTACCTTGCTTCATATTCTCCAAGAACCTGAAGTTATAAAACTGCATTGGTGGTGAAGGTTAACTTTTAATACAGTTTATGATTCTTGTATGTTCATTATTCAAATGTGGGAGGAAATATAGACATGTATGGATGGAAAAACCTTATGTAAATGGTAAATGAAATGTAGAGGAATACAGTTGATTGGGAAATTCCATTGTTTCACTTATTTTCCCACATTCTCCTAATTGTTGTCTTAGCCTTGTTTTATCCATATGAGTAAAATAATGAAAATATGCCATCTAGTGGTAAGGTTCTGGCATAAAGAGTAAATGAAATATTTGAACATTTTTTCTGTTTTAAAATCACAATATTGTACAACTCCCACAATCAAACATTATACAAACACATTTTTTTGAAAGGTGAAGCATAGGCACATGTTAATAAAAGTGGTAAGGATACACTGAATTTATATTTTGCGTATCTTGTAAATGGCTTTTGAAAACGAGGAGGGGAAGACAATCACATAGTTATATAAGAAGTTTCAACTATAGAAATAAATGCTTTTGGAAGGCACATCATACTACATTTCAAATGTCTGATTGCAATTTTATCATTTAAAGCCCACAAAAATTGTTTCTTTAAAGCTGCACTGCATATTGAAATTTACATTTATGGTTAAACTCCAATTTAGTAAATATCATCTTGTGCGCAATGGAAACACATTACTTTAGACCATAGGACAGTTAATTATTTAATATTTGTTGTGGTACTACCAAAAGACTGATCAGGATCAAGGACCTCTTATGTTAGCACAGTACAAATGTAAGCTCTGATCTTGCAAAGTCTACACATACCTTTATACATTATGTGTGAAATCCTGGTTCTGTTGAAGTCAATGGGAAAAGTACCATTGACTTCAGTAGGGCCAGGATTTCACTATGTGAGTGGTCCCATTTAAGTCATTTAGACTACTTGCATCCTTAAAATTGAGCATGCAAGCAAGTCTTTAAACATGTGAGTAGTTCAGTGACTTCAGTGGGACTAAGGAGTATGTAAAGTAATTTTGCATGTAAATCTTTACATGAACTGTGCTTAAGAGGACAATCAACCTATGAAGAAGAGGGGAGAGACAGTCAATATGCACATTTTATAGACATATTTTAGTTGAATTACTTTTTGTGTATAATGACAGAGAGATTGAACTTTGAACTTGGAGTCTCAGACTTCTGAGTTCTAATGCTGGCTCTAACCCAGACTCCCTCTGTAGCACGGGCCAGGACATTTCTTCTCAATCTCAGTCTCCCATCTTTATATGGGAATAATAGCTACCTCCAAGGAGTGTTGTGATGTTTAATTAAAATCGTTAAGAATCTCTGAAGATAAAAAAAGCACGATATAAATGCTAAGTTCTATTAACTTTATTAAAAATTACCTGTATTTCCAATTATGTAATAGCAAATGTTTTGCTCTTCTCTCTTAGAAAGTGTCATCATTCATCAGTTACGCATGAACTCTAGATGAGATACCATACCCAATGTATTCTATATGTGTGCACTTCCTCTCCACACCAGTTGGATGGATCACTGTTGAAGCCCTCTACCACTATCACCATGGTCTCCTGCGCTACTGATCACTGACAGAAGTTTTTTACTGCTTCCATTGGATTATTATGATTATTTGTAGAGTTTTTAAAAATAATGGCCTTGTTGATATTTTGAAAATATGTAGAGAAAGAGAAAAGCAGTTATGGTGCCCACTGAATGTTACTCTTATTTTGCAAAGCCTAAGGCACCTACTTGATTTTGTTTGGTGGTGTTTGCCATATAATTTATTTTTATAAAACACTTTAATGTAACTTTCCCCAAACCTTCCAAACGCTACTGTCCATGGCATGTTAATTTGTAGAATACACTGTCAAAATTCTTAGTGTTGATTGATATTTTTGTATTAAAGACAGGAAAGAACGTTTAAATTTTAATCTGAACAGTGCTTTCTTTATTTTTAACAGAAGTATGCAACACATTTTCCTGCCACCATATGACTATGAGACTAAATGCTCAAAGGACTGCCATAAAGGGTATACTGGTATAGAATTTTTCTTGCACTGTGCAGAGATTCAGCATAAAACTGAGTACTAACAAACCAAAGCCCTGAAGTACTACCTGATTTTAAAGATTATTTTTAAACATTGTAAACCAGTTTTCACTAAGCTGTGATTATTATTATTATTATTTTACAATGTGTTTTTACTTCTGCCTGTACTGAAAAAAGTCAATTTTCTTCACACTGTAACAAATAAATCTTCACAAGAATACAAATGTAACAAAGTGTTTGGATTATGCCACAAATGTCATAAGGCTGACAGTGTTGAAGTTAATCTTGTTTGTTTTATTTTATAGTAAGTACTACTGATAAAAAAGGAATTGTATGGTTTTTGTAGTTGCCATCTTTAGGCTGGTATTTCATTACAATATCACAGTGCACACTATATGCATCCAGATATTGTCAGTGCTATAAAGAAAGATCTATCATCTGGCAAATTTAATGATGCCACTGTTTCTAACTTTGAGTTTTCACTATGCTATCAAATATCACATCTATATAAGTATAAGGAAACTGTATTGTAAAGATGGCCAAATGATCATAAAACAAGACCCCATGTATGCCACTGCAACGTGCACTTAAATTTTAGAGCAGTGGCCCTTCGATGATTGATGCTGCATTCTGAAGAAGCATAATGAGAATTCTGTGGCAGCTACATTTGAATTAAAAATGGATTTTTAAATGAATTATATATGAAATTGAATAGAACCTGTATGGTATCCCTCCTGCTATTTATTTTTTATAATAAATTCATTTTATTTTAAATTTTCCCCACATTTTCAGTTGCTGCAGACTTTTGTATTATTAGTGTATAACGGTACTGTAAAGCTGCCAGGGAAAACTGGAAGATTTGGCAACTGAATGCAGGACTATTGGGGCATTTGGGGAGGTGGCTTGAGATTGTGGGATAAGCATATTAATGAGTCCTTTTTGCTGAAATGATCAGAAGTGAAATAGTTAACAATTACGACATTTTAAATTTGTCATAAGTAGATGTTAACATCTCACTGAGATTTTAAGAAGCAGATAACCCATCAGGCTGTCTGCAGACCTGAGACGTTAACATTACATTTGGTTTATAGTCATTCAAATCATCTTTGCAAGGTTATTTCACAACAATTGAAACTGGAATTTTTTTTTTTTAAAGACAAAACTTTATTCTGGAGTACAATTCTGCAGCAAGGCTGGGGCGGGGGGAATTCTGCAGCAAATTCGACAGCTGCAGAATAGCAGGAGCATGCTTTTCCCTTGTATATCTTATTGACAGCATTTTAAAAATCAGTTTTGTGTGACAGCTTGGGTCCAAGTTTCCTGAAATCCTAATATTCTTTTGTTTTGTATAAACTTTTTATATAGAATTCACTTTCACTGGGTATAAAGTGCTGGTATAGTAATCAATATGGGAAAGTTATAATGACATCCAGAATTTACATAGCATATTTCAATTTCCTTACACAGACTGAGGAATATTGACTTCCTGTGTAAAACAGGAGTAAGACTGGTGAATCAGACCCACTTATGTGCCATTGATGTCTATGAAGTTACAACAGCACAAAATGGGAATTTACATAATGATGAACCAAGCCCACTGCCTTAAAAAACATTACCTGTGAATGAATAATCATCTGGGATAAGAACTGGTTTGACTTAATCTATAATGAACCTGACAGCTATGTGAAATGTAACGCAACACTACTGAAATCGTTTCTCTGGGTTTAAAAATAGCATTAATGTCTCAGTAACAGTAGAATGACTTTTTCTTTCTGCTCCATCTGGATTAACAAAAAATCTAGTTATAGGATGTGTGAAGAAACATTTTGCTTTTGTTTTTAGGAACACTCGTCCCCCAGTCCGACCACTCCATACTCACACTTTTAAAAGTTTAAAAAGTTAAGCTGGTGTTTAACAGAAATGCAGTTATAGTTTATTTTATCCTAATCCGTTTTTAAAAGTATTTTGGATGAACAGTCTTAATTATCTAAGAGGGAGACTGAGAGCACTGGCCAAAATAAAACACCACATAGATAGGTACTATTTATGCTTTTCTATATGGAGTGGAATTATAAAGTTTGACTGAACTGGCATGTTGCAAGCAGCTCTAAAACAACAAATACTTTCTGGTTGAAAATCACACCTGTGCAGAGAGTCTTCATATGGAGGGTAACTTTAACTTTCTGTGAATTAGTGTTAGTGACTTAAAATGCAACCTAATTCAGATTTAAATCCTGACTTCAAAATATGAAAAATTAGTCTGTTTTGGGGTACGTTGAAAGAAGTCTATTAAAATATACTAAAAAAATTATTTTTCTATACATGCACTTTTTAAAGGAAATAATCATGATGTTTTCAGATGAAGCCATGTACATGCCACACTGAATCCATAAATAGCAACAATATTAAAAAATGAAAAATTGGTGAAGAACATGATCTTCTTTAGAAGCCCCTATAGTCAGTCAGATCCTTTAAATAATTGTTAACATGGCTTTACGTGAGGAAATATAATGGTTCAAGTTTTTTTTTTTTAATATACTTAATTTTTGAGGTGGGGTGGGAGTGAACTAAACTCTTCAGTTCTGCAAACACAAATCTTCCTGTTAAAGTCAATAGCAGTTTTACAATTGATGTCTCTCAGGACAGCATTGGACTTAAAGGGGAACTAAAATTAGAATATTTATTGTATAAAATCAGAAACTACCAGAAAATTAACGTAGGTGCACTGACCACTCCATCTTCAACTGTGAATTCCTTGGTTTTTGTCTATTTGTCAATGTTAACATTTTTTAAATAATTGATTTTGTATTAATGTTTGTTTTTACTTAAAAGAACGTTGTAGGTTCATAAATTTCAAGTATTTTACGAAAGCTAGATAACTTTTATTCTTCAGCAGTGTTTGGGTATTTTATATTATACTTCAGTTGGTTTAACAGCATACAGTTGTATCTACTAAGTTCAAGTTTTATTTTGATGAATATTAATTATAGCTTTAATTATTCATATATAATATAAATGATCACGTTAATTATTAATGAATATTAATTATTTATTATAGCTTTGTTGCAATAAAGAAGTTCACAATGTGATGGAATAAATTCTTGCAGAACCTAAGAATAGCCATACTGGATCAGACCAATCATCCATCTAGGTCAATATCCTATCTTCCAACAGTGGCCAATGCCAAGTGCTTCAGAGGGAATGAACAGAACAGGTAATCATCAAGTGATCCATCCCATCACCCATTTCCCAGCTTTGGGAAACTTCAGAGTATGGTTTTGCATCACTACCCATCCTTGCTAAAAGCCATTGATGGGCCTTTCGTCCATGAACTTATCTAGTTCTTTTTTGAACCCTCAATTTTGGACCTCACAACATACTCTGGCAAAGAGTTCCATAGGTTGACTGTGCCTTGTGTGAAGAAATCCTTCCTTTTGTTTTAAACCCGCTGCCTACTCATTTTTTTGGGTGACCCCTAGTTCCTATGTTATATGAAGAGTAAGTAACGTTTCCTTATTTACTTTCTCCACACCAGTCATGACTTTATAGACCTCTATAATAGCCCCCCTTAGTCATCTTTTCCAAGCTGAAAAGTCAGTCTTATTAATCTCTCCTCATATGGAAGTCGTTCCATATCCCTAATCATTTTTGTTGCCCGTTTCTGTACTTTTCCCAATTCCAATATATCTTTTTTGAGATAGGGTGACCAGAACTGCACGCTGTATTCAAGATGGGGCCATATCATGGATTTATATAGAGGCTATATGATATTTTCTGTCTTATCTACTCCTTTCTTAATGATTCCCAATATTCTATTAGCATTTGTGACTTCCGCTGTACACTGAGTGGATGTTTTCAAAAAACTAGCCACAATGACGCCAAGACCTCTTTCTTGAGTGGTAACAGCTAATTTAAACCCCATCATTTTATATGTATAGTTGCATTTTTCAACACTGAATTTCATCTGCCATTTTGTTGCCCAGTCATGCACTTTTGTGAGATCTCTTTGTAACTCTTAGCAGTCTTCTTTGGACATAAGTATCTTGAATAGTTTTGTATCATCTGCAAATTTTGCTACCTCCTCACTGTTTAACACTTTTTCCAGATCATTTATGAATCAGTACTGGCCCCAGTACAGACCCCGGGGGGACACCACTATTTACCTCTATCCATTCTAAAAACTGAGCATTTATTCCTACCCTTTGTTTCCTACCTTTTAACCAGCTACTGACCAATAAGAGAAAAAAAACTTTTTCAGACTCAGTGGGATACACAGATTTTAAGAAGTATCCCACACGGCAAGCTTCTTAAATTTTTATTATTCCTACACATACATTGTCTCTTTCATATACACCCAAAAATTAATTTTAATTTTCAAATGTAACTTAAAGACTGGTAAAGAATGTTGAAACTGATACAGCTATAGTCTTCATTTCATCAAAGATTAATTAACAAATGTAACATATTAAGGCCCCAGTCTTACACTGAACTCTGCATAGGTACAGGAGATAATTGATAGGCTGGGATGGAGAAAAGGAGTTGGGGGGAAAGGAATAGTGGTGTGTGTACCTTCTTTCTAAAAAAATGTATTTATTTCCCATTTTCTATCCAAGTTGCCTAATGCCCTCCACAAAGTAAAACTGTTTGAGGGAAGCAGTTTATCACCACTATGTGAAATTACATGTGATATTTTATTTTTGCTTGCTTAAATGTGATTCCCCCATTCCCCTAATGTAAAATCCGGGAATAATATCAATCTGTGACCTTATCTAGACACATGTTGTACTCCTTTGACTATACCTATATATATATATATATTGAAATTCATACAACTCTGTTAAAGTAGATGCAGTAATATCTATCTACAAGTGTTTATTCCAGTATAGTTTTCTTCTTCACAAAAAGGGGAATAAGCTACACTGCTATATTTACAGCCCCACTAAGGACTGTACTGGTGCAACTATTTCAGTTTTTTAAAAAACCATCACACCCCTAATCAAAATAGTTACACTGGACAAAAGAACAAAACTAGCTCCCGCAGTGGGTACCAAGCCAAAGCCACTTTCTAAGTACAGTCAAAATTAAACTAGTCCACCTTCGTGGTGATTTTGGCAGTGCTAATGCAGCAGATGATGCGAGTGGACATGAAAGGACAGCAGACGTCTTACAGTCCCTTTTGCCTCATTGCCCCCCTCACCCTGGGCCAGCAGAGGGCGGGGCCTGTCCATAGGACACTCCCCTGACAATAGGGCAGGTCTACGGGCATGTCTACACAACCCACCGGTAGTCTGGATGCGATAAATCGACCCCCAAGCGCTTTCCCATCGACTTCTGTACTCCACCGCTGCGAGAGGCGCCAAGTGGAGTCGACGGGGGAGCAGCAGCAGTCGACTCACTACAGTGAAAAGAAAAGGAGTACTTGTGGCACCTTAGAGACTAACCAATTTATTTGAGCATGAGCTTTCGTGAGCTACAGCTCACTTCATCGGATGCTCACGAAAGCTCATGCTCAAATAAACTGGTTAGTCTCTAAGGTGCCACAAGTACTCCTTTTCTTTTTGCGAATACAGACTAACACGGCTGTTCCTCTGAAACCTGTCACTACAGTGAAGACACCATGGTAAGTCGATCTAAGTAAGTCAACTTCAGCTACAGTTATTCAGGTAACTAAAGCTGCTTAACTTAGATCAATTCCCTCTCCCCCCACTGCAGACCAGGGCTACACTACAGCCGGGATGATGCTCTGAGATCAATCCACCAGAGCTCGATTTAGCGGGTCTAGTGAGCAAGTTTCTCCCGCTGACCCCTCCCCAGTGTAGACCCTGCCGTAACTCGACCTAAGCTAGGTCAGCACTAGCTATGCTATTCACACAGCTGGAGTGGCGCAGCGTAGGTCGATGTACCCTGGCAGTGTAGCCATCCCAGACGGTCCAGCGCCTCCACATTCATCGCTGAACCGAGCAATAAGCGTTTGACCAACGCGGCTGGCAGCTCACGCGGGGCTCGGGCCGCCAGCGCAGCAGTGGCGCGGCAAGGCGCCTGGACGCAGGCAGTGGCCACCGATGAATGGCCGCTGGGGGCCCGGCTGGGCTCGAGGCGCTCCCGCGCCGCGGTGCCAGGGGGGCGAAGCTGGCCGTGCCCCAACTAGCGTCCCCCCGCCGGGCCCTAGGACGGCATCGGTCGCGGGGTCGCGGGGCAGGGCTCATCAGTGCCCGCTCCCGCTGGCCAGGGGCGGCGGCGGGTGCCCTGAGCGGGGCGAGAGGCGCCAGCCCACGCGGCAGCTCGCTGACTCGAAAGGCGCAGCTCAGGCGGCCTGACTGGCTCCCCCGCCCCGCCCCGCCCCGCCGGATGACGTATTTGCGTCTCTGCACAGGACAAGAGTCGCTGTTCGTAAGGCAGCGCAACTCGATCACGCGACGCCTCCACTCTGAGCGTCGTACGCCTCAACGGGGGCGGGGGAGAGAAAAGATTGCGCGCGCGTGGTTTCTCGCGCTCTCTCTGCGCATGCGCCATCAGGGCGCGGGCAGGGAGCGCCGGCTGCGCCGGAAGGGTGGAGGTTAATGGCTCTTATCATCATCGATTATGCGCCCTAGATCCAACCAAGCCCCTGCCTCACCCACTGCGACGGCGCATGCGCAGGTTGGGGGAAGGCGGGCGGAAGAAGGTGGGCCCGGTCACCCGAGCTGGTGACGTTTGTTTGTTGTTAGTGGCTCCGCGGGTGCGGAACTGTCCCCTTCCTCACGCGCAGGCGCAGTGTTCTCCCGTTCCTCACTGGCCCGAGCGGAGGCGGCGTCGGTTCGCGAGCGGAGCGCTGGCTGCTCCCCCTGCTCGGCGGCCCCATGGCGGTGAACTACAGCGCGAAGGAGGAGGCGGACGGGCATACATCTGGAGTGGGGGCCGCGGGCGGCGGGGCCGCCGGCGGGGCGGGGAAGAGCCGCAAGCCGGATAACACGGCATTCAAGCAGCAGCGCCTGCCGGCCTGGCAGCCCATCCTGACCGCGGGCACCGTGCTGCCCGCCTTCTTCATCATCGGCCTCATCTTCATCCCCATCGGCATCGGCATCTTCGTCACCTCCAACAACATCCGCGAGTACGAGGTGAGGGTCGGGACGGGGCGCGGGCTGCCGGGCGCCCCCTCTTGCGGCGGTTACCGGCGCTGGGGTCTCCCGGCCGCGGGGGGCGACGGGGCTGGCGGCTCCCTGTTCTCAGCTGGTGCCTGAGCTCCCCCTGGGCGCCTCTCGGTGAAACCTTGGCAGAGGGTGAGCGGGGGCGATCGTGAGCGCAGGAAACGTTGGGAGAAGGGAGCTGGGCTTTCTAAACCCAGGCCGGCCGCTTCTGGGAAGTACCCTGTAGGGCCCCAGCTGTACAGTACTGGCCGGGGGGCGGGGGGTGTAGCTAATACGTCTCTGCCTTCCATAATTTACCACATTATGGTTGAGATTGCAAATGCTACTCTGAAACACAGAGAAAAATCCCCAGCCTGGACAATAACGGGAAGACCCTGTCTTCCACATGGAGCTTCCGTCAGACCAGGGTCAGGTGAGGTAGGTTTTGTAGGTAGTATGACAGTCTAGCAGCCTGCAGGATTAAAGGGGTTCTGCTGCTCCACTGGGCATTGCCAGATCCTTCCTGTCTCTTCATGCTGTTGTGGTTGATGTGGTTTTAGAGGTGAAAAAATGGCTTCTGTAGGAAATGCCTGTGTTTGTCAATTTGGTCAAATGTTAATGTTCTTTTTTTGAATTACTTGTTTATCTCTTGCACTGACTAATGGAGGTTGAAAGAACGTTGAGTGGTAGACTCAAAACACTAAAGATGACCTTGCCTACTATCCTGAGCATCCTCCCTTGATACTGATTTCTCTAGCCCAGTGGTCTCCAAACTTTTTACACCCAAGATCACTTCTTGAATTTAAGGGCAACCCAGGATCTACCTCATCCATTTCCCCAAGGCCCCTCTCACTCCATTTCCCCCCCCCACCCTCGGTCACTCGCTCTCCCCCACCCTCACTCACTTTCATCGGGCTGCGACAGGGGGGTTGGGGTTTGGGAGGGGACACACGGGCTCTGGCCTGGGGCCGAGGGGTTCACAGTGTGGGAGGTGCTCCGGGCTGAGCCTGGGACACGGGGTTGGGGTGCAGGAGGGAGTGAGGGGTGCAAGTTCTGGGAGGGAGGTTGGGGCAGAGTGTTGGGGTGCAGGAGAGGGCATGGGGTGCTGGCTCTGAGAGGGAGAGTCAGGGCTGGGGCAGGAGGTTGGCTGCAGGAGGGGCATTGGGGTGCTCGCTCTGGGAGGGGGCTCATGGCTGTTGCAGGAGAGTGTATGGGGTGTAGTAGGAGGTATGGGGTGCTGGCTTCAGGAGGGGGCTCAGGGCTGGGGGTTGGGGTGAAGCCTCCTGCCGGGCGACACTTACCTTGGGTAGCTCCCAGTTGGTGGTGCAGCAAGTCTAAGGCAGGCTCCCTGTCTGCCCCAGCCCCACATCACTCCCGGAAGGGGCCAACATGCCCCTGTGGCCACGGGGGGGGGGGGAACGTGGCTTCACACACTGCCCCTCTTTGCAGGCACTGCCCCCACAGCTCTCATTGGCCAAACCCTGTCTCCTCCTCCCCCATGGGGCTGCGTTGGCCGCTTCCAGGGGTGGTGTGGGGCTGGGGGAGGCACGGAGCCTGCCTTAGCGGCAGCCCCACTACACCACCAGAGATCACAATCGACTGGGAGAGTTCATAGGATCGACAAGTCAATTGCAAACAACAAGTTGGTGACCACTGCTGTAGCCTGGTCAGCATACATTTCAACACTAGGACCTTGATTTCACTAGGAAAAAAGGTGGCTTTTTTCCACGTTTACTAACACATGGTAAAATCCTAGTGTGGACAAGGCAAATATAGTTTAATGCTAATAGCCGGCTGAGGTAAACATCTGTAGCATGTTAAAAGTCGTGTTTATTTTTTTGGTGATAAAAAACACATTTTTTCCTAGTATGGATGCTCTCTAGAAGCCTGACATGTCAGAGATAAATTTAGCAGTAAATGCACCAAAGGTGTGTGCTCTTCAGTTTGCATTTTCCAGTGACAGTGTAGTATAAATACTCAGACAATACTTTGCGTCTGGTACTTAGCTACAGCTTTCATATAAACCCTTAAGCTTTGGCTTTACAACTCTTAAAAAGCTCCAAGCTGAAAAGTTGCATGTCATCATCAAAAACAAACTTGCCATCATTGTTAAATCTGATCAGCTCTTAGTTTCTCTGTTGTGTTGACTTAGACCCTGATTTTGCAAACACTTACATATATGCTGCTTTCAGTAGTACCATTTAAAACAGTGGATTTACTTGCAGTAATAAGGTGAAGCGGATATGAGGCTGCAGATTGAGCCCCTTAAAAATACACTTTGGTGTGCAGATCGAATCATACTGAATCATACCAGTTATATAAAAAACAGGATTGTTCACTTTTGTCTATCAATCAGTGGAGATAATTTCCTTGAGGAGTGAAGATGGAGTAGTTGTGGAATTGATTTCATTTGCTAGATTGAAAGAGTGTCTGAGATTTTTCATTTGTATATCTCTGTTCAAATCATAGAATCATAGAATATAAGGGTTGGAAGGGACCCCAGAAGGTCATCTAGTCCAACCCCCCTGCTCGAAGCAGGACCAATTCCCAGTTAAATCATCCCAGCCAGGGCTTTGTCAAGCCTGACCTTAAAAACCTCTAAGGAAGGAGATTCTACCACCTCCCTAGGTAACGCATTCCAGTGTTTCACCACCCTCTTAGTGAAAAAGTTTTTCCTAATATCCAATCTAAACCTCCCCCACTGCAGCTTGAGACCATTACTCCTCGTTCTGTCATCTGATACCATTGAGAACAGTCTAGAGCCATCCTCTTTGGAACCCCCTTTCAGGTAGTTGAAAGCAGCTATCAAATCCCCCCCTCATTCTTCTCTTCTGCAGGCTAAACAATCCCAGCTCCCTCAGCCTCTCCTCATAACTCATGTGTTCCAGACCCCTAATCATTTTTGTTGCCCTTCGCTGGACTCTCTCCAATTTATCCACATCCTTCTTGAAATGTGGGGCCCAAAACTGGACACAGTACTCCAGATGAGGCCTCACCAATGTCGAATAGAGGGGAACGATCACGTCCCTCGATCTGCTCGCTATGCCCCTACTTATACATCCCAAAATGCCATTGGCCTTCTTGGCAACAAGGGCACACTGCTGACTCATATCCAGCTTCTCGTCCACTGTCACCCCTAGGTCCTTTTCCGCAGAACTGCTGCCTAGCCATTCGGTCCCTAGTCTGTAGCTGTGCATTGGGTTCTTCCGTCCTAAGTGCAGGACCCTGCACTTATCCTTATTGAACCTCATCAGATTTCTTTTGGCCCAATCCTCCAATTTGTCTAGGTCCTTCTGTATCCTATCCCTCCCCTCCAGCGTATCTATCACTCCTCCCAGTTTAGTATCATCTGCAAATTTGCTGAGAGTGCAATCCACACCATCCTCCAGATCATTTATGAAGATATTGAACAAAACCGGCCCCAGGACCGACCCTTGGGGCACTCCACTTGATACCGGCTGCCAACTAGACATGGAGCCATTGATAACTACCCGTTGAGCCCGACAATCTAGCCAGCTTTCTACCCACCTTGTAGTGCATTCATCCAGCCCATACTTCCTTAACTTGCTGACAAGAATACTGTGGGAGACCGTGTCAAAAGCTTTGCTAAAGTCAAGAAACAATACATCCACTGCTTTCCCTTCATCCACAGAACCAGTAATCTCATCATAGAAGGCGATTAGATTAGTCAGGCATGACCTTCCCTTGGTGAATCCATGCTGGCTGTTCCTGATCACTTTCCTCTCATGCAAGTGCTTCAGGATTGATTCTTTGAGGACCTGCTCCATGATTTTTCCAGGGACTGAAGTGAGGCTGACTGGCCTGTAGTTCCCAGGATCCTCCTTCTTCCCTTTTTTAAAGATTGGCACTACATTAGCCTTTTTCCAGTCATCCGGGACTTCCCCGGTTCGCCACGAGTTTTCAAAGATAATGGCCAATGGCTCTGCAATCACAGCCGCCAGTTCCTTCAGCACTCTCGGATGCAACTCGTCCGGCCCCATGGACTTGTGCACGTCCAGCTTTTCTAAATAGTCCCTAACCACCTCTATCTCCACAGAGGGCTGTCCATCTCTTCCCCATTTTGTGATGCCCAGCGTAGCAGTCTGGGAGCTGACCTTGTTAGTGAAAACAGAGGCAAAAAAAGCATTGAGTACATTAGCTTTTTCCACATCCTCTGTCACTAGGTTGCCTCCCTCATTCAGTAAGGGGCCCACACTTTCCTTGGCTTTCTTCTTGTTGCCAACATACCTGAAGAAACCCTTCTTGTTACTCTTGACATCTCTGGCTAGCTGTAGCTCCAGGTGCGATTTGGCCCTCCTGATAACATTCCTACATGCCCGAGCAATATTTTTATACTCTTCCCTGGTCATATGTCCAACCTTCCACTTCTTGTAAGCTTCTTTTTTATGTTTAAGATCCGCTAAGATTTCACCATTAAGCCAAGCTGGTCGCCTGCCATATTTACTATTCTTTCGACTCATTGGGATGGTTTGTCCCTGTAACCTCAACAGGGATTCCTTGAAATACAGCCAGCTCTCCTGGACTCCTTTCCCCTTCAAGTTAGTCCCCCAGGGGATCCTGGCCATCCGTTCCCTGAGGGAGTCGAAGTCTGCTTTCCTGAAGTCCAGGGTCCGTATCCTGCTGCTTACCTTTCTTCCCTGTGTCAGGATCCTGAACTCAACCAACTCATGGTCACTGCCTCCCAGATTCCCATCCACTTTTGCTTCCCCCACTAATTCTACCCGGTTTGTGAGCAGCAGGTCAAGAAAAGCGCCCCCCTAGTTGGCTCCTCTAGCACTTGCGCCAGGAAATTGTCCCCTACGCTTTCCAAAAACTTCCTGGATTGTCTATGCACCGCTGTATTGCTCTCCCAGCAGATATCAGGAAAATTAAAGTCACCCATGAGAATCAGGGCATGCGATCCAGTAGCTTCCGTGAGCTGCCGGAAGAAAGCCTCATCTACCTCATCCCCCTGGTCCGGTGGTCTATAGCAGACTCCCACCACTACATCACTCTTGTTGCACACACTTCTAAACTTAATCCAGAGACACTCAGGTTTTTCTGCAGTTTCGTACCGGAGCTCTGAGCAGTCATACTGCTCCCTTACATACAGTGCTACTCCCCCACCTTTTCTGCCCTGCCTGTCCTTCCTGAACAGTTTATAACCATCCATGACAGTACTCCAGTCATGTGAGTTATCCCACCAAGTCTCTGTTATTCCGATCACGTCATAGTTCTTTGACATCACCAGGACCTCCAGTTCTCCCTGCTTGTTTCCAAGGCTTTGTGCATTTGTATATAAGCACTTGAGATAACCTGTTGATCGCCCCTCATTCCCAGTATGAGGCAGGAGCCCTCCCCTCACAGAAATGTTGTGTAACACTACCATAATACAATATGCAAAGGAATATAAATATCAGACTACTTAAAAATAAATCCTCAAAGGAAAGGAATTTGAAAGATAAGGTAGAAATGTACTTCATGTTCTCCCAGTATTGTGTGTGCTCTTAATTGCTTTCTAAAAATATACATGCCTTTCTGCCCAGATTTGAGGCCACACATCCCATCTCCAAATCAACCCTGAGTTTCTTAAAAGAACCCAGTTGGATTTGATAGAGTAACTTCTTGAAATAACACTTAGGATAGACATGTAAACTCTAAATTTGAGTGTTACTTTAATGATTGGAACAAGAGTAAAAAGGTGTTGCTTCTAACACATTAACCACCATTGTAGCTGATCGTTTCTTTAAAGAAACAAATTTTCTTAGCTTTGTTCTAGAATAAATTATTAAAACAAAAAATATTTAAAATCAAAGGGCAAATTTTTCAGAGCAGAGTGCCTGAAGTTAAGGCTCTGAATCTATATTTAGATAACTAAATTTATGTAGTCTGATTTTCAGAAAAGCTGTGCCCTCCCAGCCTCAATGAGTATGTCTGTAGTGCATCTGGGAGTGAGCCTCCCAGCCCAGGTCCACAGATTTGTGTTAGTGGAGCTCATGCTAGTGTGAGAAAAAAAGTTGTATAAATATTGCAGCTCAGGCTTTCTAACCTAAGAGGTAGGGTGGGCTTGGGAGCCACAGTGTCAAAGCAGTGTCTACACAGCTGTATTGAATTTAGCATGCTAACACAAGACTGTGAACCCAAGCTGGGAAGCTTGCTGCCAGATGCAGTGAAGACATACCGTGTGAGGTCAGTTGTGCTTCAGTTACTTAATATCTTTGAAAAATGTGCTGCTTTTATTTAGGTGCCTAGGACCTTGACCTAACAAACATTTGCACACGTGCTTCACATTTCTTGCATGAGTAGTCCCAGTGATTAAAGTTAAACATGTGGATAAGTGTTTTTGGGATTGGGGGCCTAAATATAGACTAAGAAGCTGTAATTGGAAGTTCCCAGTTGTGAAAATTTTGGCCTAGTTTCTTACATTTTATGTACTATTTGCCTTTTTCAGCTTGGTTGGGAAACATTCTGTTAATTTTCTTTTTGGGGTTCTTATATTGAGACTAAGACCATAGTGTCTATATAAGTACATAAAATAGATCTGCTAGCTGTAGAGGAATGTTTATTTAAAAATAAATAAATAAATAAATCTGTTCCCACTGTTTTTGACAAGTTAAGGTTCAATGGCATGGAATATACGTTGTGATAGTGATAAAAGATTATATCCCAATGGGGATCATTCATTTATTTCCCAGACTCTTTAATGATTGTCTTTTTAAAGATACATAACCAAATTTTCTTCTGCAGTCTAGCCCCCTTGTGCGGCAACAGACCTGTTGGATTCTCTTGGCATGAGTAAATCCCTAACTGGCAGAGAACCATTTTAGTTGTTTTCTATGCCATTCTTGCAGTCTCTGGAATGGAAAAAAGGGTGTGGGCTGGAATGTGAATGTGCCAGGGCCATTTCTGGCTTACATATTGTCCTTTCAGAGCCATAGCTAGCTGGCATATTTTAGAGTAGCCTATATGCCTCTCTGAAATAATCCAGAGCTGACAAATAGAGCCCTGCGGGGATTCAAAATTTGTATCTGCGTCCAATCCGTGATCTGCGGTGTAAAAGCGCTATATAAAAAACAGTAATAAAGGAAGGGGATCTACCCCACCGCGGCAGCCCCCGAGCTGGGGCTGGGAAGGAGTGGGGTCTCTCCCCTGCCGCAGCAGCCACAGAGCTGAAGCTGGGAAGTAGGGCTGTCTCTCCCTGGCAGCCACAGCCCTGGAGCTGGGGAAAGTTGCCCCTATCTCTGGCCGCCGCCCTTGACATCCCAAATTCCCTCCCACCCCCTCTTCTCACCCCATTGCCCCCTGCCCCCTATTCTCCCCAAGGCCACCACGTCACCTTACATGTGCGTCTTCTCCAGGGTCCAGGCACCTAATTATTGGAGCCATGCCTGCATGGCTCCACTAATTTAGATGTGTGGCCCTTCATTCTCTTGTGTGCGGTCACCCAGGCACGCATCTTAGAGGGAACTATCTGCGGACCACCTGAATGACGCTCGCGGACCACTGGTGGTCCACGGCCCACAGTTTGAGAACCTCTATTCTAATACATTTAATAGCAGTCTGAGTGAGTGAATAATTCCACCTCTTACTGTAAGCAAACGTGTTTATTCTGTCTCCTGTTTAAAAAATAATGGTTGTATTGGTTTTATTTATGAAGGGGGATGTATAAGAAGCAATTTAAGCATACTTCGTTAGTCCTGATCACTCACCTAAATGTCAAGTAACAATATATAGGTTTCACGCTGATTTTCGTTCCAGTTGTCATTAATTGAAATATGGAAGCTTTCCAACTGCTTTAACGTAACATAAAATTACATATCCTTTACGTAAGGCGCTTTCCGAGCATTTTCTGAAATTCTGATTAGGTCACATAAACATACTTCAGAGGATAGGTAGTGTGTTCATAGCAGTCCAGTTTAAAAAAAAAAATTGTTGGATGGAAAACAAGTATATGGCTAGCAAAAAGGTGTCTTCAGTGTCTTACCAGTTTCTCTTGCTGCACTGTTCCCTGGGTAGAGGAAAAGAAAGCAAGTGTTGGATAAATTTAAATTATTTAGGAATCATTCAGGAGCTGAAACATCACATTGAAAATCAATTCTAAAAGATACTGGCAAACTGAGCCAGGTCTAAAGCAGTTTTTTTAAACTATCAATAATGTATACAGAATGGTTGTCCAATTATTTACTTAATCAGGATGAACAAAATTGACCTATAACAGAGCAGTTAAGTGTGCTATCAATTATAGGTGACCCACAAATGAAAAAAAAATGGGGTTTGTTCTTTCTCTTTCTGCATTACTGCTACTATCAATTACTGTTTAATATTTGTATTACCATAGAGACAAGAGGCCCCAATCAAGAGTGTGGTCCCATTGTTGGTATACAAACATGTAGAGAGAGAGAGAGATTTTCTACTTCATAGAGTTTGCAGTCAGTTTTTTAAAGACCTGACATTTTAAAATACAAACTGCCTTTTTAGCCTTAAAATAACAAGCTTTGTTTTTTAATGTAGGACTCTTTGGCTGACTAGAGAATAGAGTGGGTTCTGGCTATTAAGGTCTGTGTGAAAGATACTTCATCCTACGTTTGGATTGCCATAGAAAAACTATCAATTGTTGACAACAGGTGTCAGTACAATACTAGTTCAATTGCTGTTTAACTGCCTGGATAGATCAGGACAGACTGGGCAGCACTGTTACAGATCTATATCCAAACACATTGCTGACAGAGGCTGCTGAAATGGTGCTATTTCCAAGTGAACACAGGGCCTAAAACTTATTTATTTTTTAGATAACCCTATTTAATTCAAGCTTCTTGGCGACACTCAAACCTGGTATACACTAGAAAAAGTATTGTTGATAATGGGGGTTGGCAATAGGTTCAACTGCAACAATAGACCAGACAAAACAGTGTGCAATAGCCTTTCAGAAAACCATCCAAACAGTTCAAATTATGACTGATCCTTCAGGACACAGTGCAAAATTCATGCATTTACATACTTTGCAATAAAGATTTGTTGAAAACACCAAACAGGATGATGAGTTGACCCATGTATATATTCTGAGGTTTTTAACTCTTCATATTAATGTTGTTTGAATAACATAATTTTAAAAGTTAGGTAATCCACAATCAATCAAATAAATACCGATGGTATTTTCCACTATCCAGTGGTAATCTGTTCTTCGTAGCTTTCTTTAAAGACATGCCAACATCATTGTCTTAATATCTTACATTAAGAGCTAGCCTTTCAAAAGCACCCAGCAGATCCCAGGTTTGGGTTCCGAGTGCTTTTGAAAATCTTGCCTCATTATTTAGGTGCCTAAATGGGGAGTAACAGTGTATTAAGTAAACCTCCAGGTGTTGATTTGTTTTTAGCACAGACATTCTCTCCCCTCCCCCCCTTCTGTGATGTGAAAAATCCACCTGTGAAACCTTAATTCTCTATGAAGTCTTCTGTGTAGGAATATTCTTTGGATTTGAGATGGAGCTGATTGAGAAACAGCAGAGATGACGTCAGTCTGTTTGGTTTAGTAATCGTGATATATGTCTTTCTCTCTTTGTAACTCAGTATCCTCTTTCTCTTGCAGATTGATTACACAGGAACTGACTCTTCTAGTCCCTGCAATAAATGTTTGAATGTGTCCTGGAATAGCACACCACCTTGTACTTGCACCATTGACTTTATACTGGATCATCCCTTTGAGGTCTGTTACTTTGTATGTGAGTTGCCATCAGAATTACTCATAATTTTACGTTCATGCCTTTTGCATTTTATCATTGCTTTTGTAAGGTATTGTACTAGCTATCTTCACATCTGCTTACTTAAGTCAAAAAACTAAATTTGTATGTTAGAGGAACATCATATTTGCCTTATTCTTAAAAATTAAATCCTGTTATGCTCTTCTCTTCATCCATCAACTAATCCTGTGTGTTGTATGTCTTCTCCACAAACTACATCTGGTACAACAGGTTTGAATCAGGTCTTAATTTATTTATCATCACCCAGAAATGTGTAACATTAACTGGATCCGTGAGTCACGAATCCATAGATTTACCATGTGAGTCTTTAACAGTCTGTACTGAGCTTTTTATTAAATTCTGTTTCTGTTGCACCACTGATGGTACAATATGAGGGAGCATTTGCATAGACTGCCTGCTGATGTTTTAACTATCATTAACCAGGGTTAGATGACCCTGTTGTATAGATGCAAGTGGCCAACGTACATTAGCACTCCCAGTCATTGATGGAACCGCCCAGGTGGTAGTGCAACTAAAGGAGATTTTGACAATAAATTCATTGTAAACAAGGCTTGCAAACTAGCTTTATGAATGTCCCTGAGGGCATTCAGTTTTACAAGTTTGGGGGTCTTATGTTTTAAAAGAAAATTTGAGTTTCTGTGTGAATTTCAGAAACACTCTGTATAATGTAAAGATTTGGAAAATTGGGACTACTTGAATTGCGCAATACCGTGTGACCATATGCTGCCTGATCACTCCTGTGTTGTAAGTGAGAGACCCAGATCAGAATATCCAATAGTCCTGTGGTTGGAGCGCTCTTCTGACAAGTGGGAGACCACTGTTCAAATCCATTCTCCCCTTCAGATGGGGTGGGGAGGAACTGAGCCTGGGTGTCTCATATTCCAGGTGAGTCCTCGGAGTGGGCTAAAAGTTATAAGGAAGGTGGCTGCTGCTCCTCCGTTGTTTCATGCATAGGCGCTAAGCCGTCTGACTCCAGGAGAGGAGTATCCCAGTTGTGGATCACAAGCAAGCTTAGATGCCTCTCTGCAGCCCAGATTTTGCCAGTGAAAATCCATGAGAGGGATTGGGCTTATGATACACCACTCTCATTGGCATTTCCCATTGGCTAGGTTAGGCAAGGAGCCACCTAACTTGATGGCTTGTGTGGATCACAGCTTTAGTAACCTATCTCTCCGCATTCATTGTATAGAAAAGCTAGGCTAAGAACCTAACTCAGGATTCGTGGATTCCATTATTCTTTCAGAGATTTTTCTAGGTGCCTAAAAATTAGGCACACCAATACTCAGCATTGCTGTGCCTAAGTCCCTTTGTGGATATGGGCCTTAGTATTGGATACAGTGAGTGTGGGAAGCCCCTTGAACTTAGATATTGACACTAAAGAAACTTTCATTGTTGCCTCTGAATTGTTAAACAGCGAATGTAAGGTATTTCAGAATTTCTTGATGATGACTTGTGATATGTGAGGCTAGAAGGACACAACTTGTCTTTCAGATGCCAGGCTGAGTTTACAATACTGGAAGTATAAAACATTTTGTTTTGATTTGTCTCCTGAGCAAATATATTATGAATATTACTGATCTAGAATAAATATAGAATATCAGTATGTAAATATTTGTCAATTTCCTGGCTGTATCAACACATTAATGTATCTGATGGATCGTTATCTTATGTATTGGTGTTATTGAGTATCCTCTTTCAATCTGCCACCTTGTATTTTGCAGACCAATGTGTTTATGTATTATGGACTGTCCAACTTCTATCAAAACCATCGTCGTTATGTGAAGTCTCGGGATGACAGCCAACTAAATGGCGATAATAGTTCTTTATTTGTAAGTAAACTTTATTTATGCTCAAGTCTAATCATTAGTAATAATTAGGTAACATAAATCAACATGCTGCAGAAGCATTTTCAGCATTGAGGTGAAATAGACACTTCTCTTTATGTCGTAGGAGACATTGTCAAAGAATCAGTGTTATACTGGTGACTTCATATATGTTCCATTAAATGGACATTCTGTACTTCTATCTGATGGATTGTGGTACAGTAGATTGATCATTGCTCACTGCAAATAAATGTGTTCTGATTAGCTTAGATCTGTGGTGCTTTTCAGGCAGTGAAACCAGTTTAGCTCCATCTGTTCTGTCTGAAGTTTTATCTTTCACTAATGAACAATGCCCAGCTAGATAGCAGATTTCAATGCTTAGAATTGGATACTCAGATTCAGCATTCCAGTTGATTAGCTACTAGTTATCAAATATCAGTACTAAAATGCATGTATTCAAAACAACTATGTGAAGTTTCTCATGGCCTCTTTAGGCATGATTTATCTTCTACAGGCGGTGTGGGAACACAAAGGATAGGAATAAATGGTCAGTTTTCACTGTGGAGAGAGGTAAATAGCGGGGTCACCCAAGGATCTGTACAGGGACCTACGCTGTTCAACATATTCTTGAATGATCTGGGAAATGGGATTAACAGTGAGGTGGCAAAATTTACGAACTATAAAAAATTACTCAAGATAGTTAAGTCCAAAGCAAACTGCAAAGAGTTAGAAATCTGAGTGACAGAGCAACAAAATGGCAGATTGGTGCAAAGTAATGCACATTGGAAAACATATCTAACCACTATGCATACAAAATGATGGGGTCTAAATTAGCTGTTCCCACTCAAGAAAGAGATCTTGGAGTAATTGTGGATAGTTCTCTGAAAACATCTGCTTACTGTGCAGCAGCAGTCAAAAAACCTAACAATTTTATGAACCATTAGGAAAGGGATAGATAATTAAACAGAAAATATCATAATGCAACTATATAAATCCATGGTACACACACATCTTGAATACTGCATGCAGTTCTGGTCACCCCATCTCAAAAAAAAATACAATTGGAAAAAGTATAGGAAATGGCAAAAAAGAATGAGTATGAGGAGAGATTAAGAAGAGTGGGACTGTTCATCTTAGAAAAGAGATGACTGAGGGGGATATGATAGAGATCTATAAAATCATGAATGGTGTGGAGAAAGTGATGAGAGTGTTATTTACCTTTCACATAATACAAGAACTAGGGGTCACCCAGTGAAATTGATAAGCGGCAGGTTTAAAACAAACATAAGGAAGTACTTCTTCACATAAGGCACAGTCAACCTGTGGAACTCATTGCCAGGGGTTGTTGTGAAGGCCAAAAGTATAACTGGGTTCAAAAAAGAATTAGGTTAATTAATGGAAGATAGGTCCATCAGTGGCAAATAGCCAAGATGATCAGGGATGCAACCTCAATCTCCGGGTGTTCCCGCTTCTGGCAGTCAGCGATTTAGGGACTGGACGACAGGGGATGGATCACTTGATAATTGGTTTGTTCTGTTCGTTCCCTTTGAGGCATCTGGCACCAACCACTGTTGGAAGACAAAGTAGTGGGTTAGATCGACCATTAGTCTGACCCATTTGGGCCATTCTTATGTTCTTAATTAGGCCATGTCTAAACTATGGGTGCTACAGTAGCATAGCAGTGGTGCCATAGCTATGCCCTTTAGTGTAAGACATAGACTACAGTGACAGAATGGGTTTTTCCATCACTGTAGGAACTCCATGTACCCAAGGGGCTATAGCTAGGTCAGTGGAAGCATTCTTCCATCAGGCTAGCTGCATCTACAGTTGGGATTAAGTCAGCATATCTGTGGTGCTCAGGGTATGCAGTTTACATATCTGTAGCTATGTCGACCTAACTTTTAAGTGAAGACTGGGCCTTCGGCTCTTGATAAGGGAGTTGTTGGCTATTTGCGGCTCCAGCAGATACTTCTCCCTCTGTTCCCTGTGACCTTTATAAAAGGGTGGGAGAGTTCCAGTAAGTAACTTGGATGCTTTGTCTCAAAACATTTTACATTTTAATTTAATAATATTTATTGGTCTTTTATAGGTAGATAAATATTTTACTGTTAAGTGCCTAAGTCTTTTTTTCAGATAGTCAACTTTCTCAATGGTTTAATGGTGGAAATATTATTTAAATATATTTTGGGTATGCTGAAGCATTAGATCAAAAGCATACAAAAACTCCACTATATAGAGCATTGATTAAAAAAAAACCTTTATAGTCTACAATGTATGCACTATGTGGATTCTGAACTCTGTCTGATTCAGTTTTTGTTTAGTGAGTAAAAACTATTACAATTAATATTAAAAATGATATTTTAAATAGTTTAGACTTTTGGCAATTCAAGTTATGATGTTCAAGGCATACAGAAAATGTAGTTTATAATGGGATTAGTTAGCTGCAGATCTCAACTATCTCTTCTTTTCTTTTAAATATTAGAATCCCAGTAAGGAGTGTGAGCCTTACCGCACGAGTGAGGGTAAACCCATTGCTCCTTGTGGAGCTATTGCCAACAGTATGTTTAATGGTATGGTATTTTCTTTTAAACCACCTTATAAAAATATCAAGATGCTTTTGCAATCTGGTCCACACGTCAAATTGTGCTATAAATTATTTGAAATTGATTAAAAATGTTCGAGGATTTTGTCTTTAAATTAGACAAGCTTTAGCTGTGCAGAGCAAATAGATTTTGTTATACTTGAGTGCTGGAGGGGAAACATGCTAGGGGAACTGCTACTGCTTATTTTCCTTCTGAAACTGTGTTATCAGATTCATTCAATTATGGCAGCAAGGGTTGGGGATAACTTCCACATGGCACTGGCTGTTATGTTTATCTAGTGTGTGTGTGTGTGTGTGTGTGTAGTACTGTATATAAAATAAAATATATGGAGCTCTGGGTGAAGGGTCAGAATCTGTGGGGAAACATGGGCAAACAGCAGGGACAAAGGAGAGCAGAGGAAATGTAGAGGGGAAATCTAATAAATGGATATCTATATACGAATGCAAGAAATATGGGAATCACGTAAACTTGGTGGGATAATTCACATGACTGGAATATTGGATAGAGGGTGTACTTTGTTCAGGAACAACAGGCAGGTGAAAGAAGGGAGGAAGCATTGCTTTGTATATTCAAAAATGTATACGCTTGCACTGAGGTTGACAGGGAAGTAGGCGACAGACTTGTTGCAAGTCTCTGGGTAAGGATAGAAGGGGTGATGTCATGGTAGGTGTCCACTGTAGACTACTAGGAAGAACAGGTGGATGAGGCTTTTTTTTTAAACAACAAATAAAGATAAATAAAATCCATCCAAAAACACAGAACTTGGTGATGGGGGATTTCAACTACCTGGACATCTGTTGGGAATATAATACAGCATGGCACAGCTTATGCAACAAGTTCTTGGAATGCACTGGTGACAACCTTTTATTATAGCAGGTGGAGAAAGCCACTGGGGGAGAGGCTATTCTAGATTTGATTCTGATAAACAGAGGAACTATTTGATGATCTGAAAGTGGAAGGCAGCTTGGGTGAAAATGATCATGAAATGATAGAGTTCATGATTCTGAGGAATGGTAGGAGAGAAAACAGCAGAATAAAGATTATGGGCTTCGAGAAGGCAAACTTTAGCAAACTCAGAGAATTGGTAGGTAAGATCCCATGGGAAGAAGTCAAAGGGAGAAAAAAAGAGTTCACAAGAGTTGTCAGATTTTTAGAGAGACATTATTAAGGGCACAAGAGCAAACTATCCCAGTGTGTGGGAAATGTAGGAAAGATAGGAAGTTTGGTAGGGATCATGCTGGCTTAACCAGGAGATCTTCGGTAACCTGAAACTCAATAAAGAGTCATACAAGAAGTGGAAACTTGGTCAAATTACAAAGGATGAATATTAAAAAAAACCAGAAGCATTTGGGGACAAAATTAGAAAGACTGATGCACAAACCAAGATTAACCTTGCTAGGAATATAAAGGGTAACAAATACATGGGAAGCAAGAGGAATACCAAGGGCCCAGTAGGCCCATTACTTAATGAGGAGGGAAAGACAGAAACAAGAAATTGCACCAATGGCATAAGTGTTAAATGCCTTTTGTGCTTGTTTTCACCAAAAACAAGCACAGTGATTGGATGACTAACATAGTGAACACCAGTGTAAATGGTAGGATCTAAGACTAAAATAGGAAAAGAACAAGTTAAGAATTACATAGACAAGCTAGATGTCATCAAGTTGGGAAGGCCTGATTAAATCCATCCTAGAATAGGTAAGGAACTGGCTGAAGAGATCTCTAGAATCATAGAATATCAGGGTTGGAAGGGACCTCAGGAGATCATCTAGTCCAACCTCCTGCTCAAAGTAGGACCAATCCCCAATTTTTGCCCAAGATCCCAAATGGCCCCCTCAAGGATTGAACGCACAACCCTGGGTTTAGCAGGCCAATGCTCAAACCACTGAGCTATCGCTCCTCCCCCCCCCCCCCCAATCTCTGAGCCATTAGCGATTATCTTAGTAGTCATCAATGGTTCACAGTCAAGCGGGAAGGGCAAATCAGAGTGGGGCCCTGCATGGATCTGTCCTGGGTCTGGTTCTATTGAATATCTACATAAATTATTTAAATTATTACATAGAAAGTACACTTACGAAGTGTGTGGATGATACCAAGCTGAGAATAGTTGCAAGCCCTTTTGGGGACAGAATTAGAATTCAGGATGATCTTGACAAAATGGAGAAATTGTTGTTAAATTCAAGGACAAATGCAAAGTACTACACTTAGAAAGGAATTATCAATTGCACAAATACAAAGTGGGAAATGGCTGCCTAGGAAAGAATATTGCAGAAAAGGATCTGGGGGTTGAGTGTATCAGAAATTAAGAGTCAACAATTTTTAAATCTGTTGCAAAAAAAGTGAATATCATACTGAGATGTATTAGCAGGAGTGTTATAAGCAAGACACAAGAAGTAATTTTTGCACTCTGTTCAGCATTGATAAGGCTTCAGTTGGAATATTCTGTCCAGTTCTGGACATCATGCTTCAGGAAAGATTGGACAAACTGGAGCAAGTCCAGAGGAAAGCAACCAAAAATATTAAAGATCTAGAAAACATAACCTATGAGGAAAAATTGAAAAAATTGGGTTTCTTTAATCTGGAGAAGACAAGATTTGGGGGGTGGGGGGTGTGGATGGAAGATAACTGTCTTTAAGTATGTAAAAGGTGCTTTAAGAAAAGGTGAGAAATTGTTCTCCTTAATCACTGAGGACAGGACAAGAAGTAACGGGCTTAAATTGCAGCAAGGGAGATTTAGGTTAGACATTAGGAAAAACTTCGTAACTATAAGGGTAGGTAAGCACTGGAACAAATTACCTAGGGAGGCTGTGGAATCTCTGTCGTTGGAGCTTTTTAAGAACACGTTAGACAAACACCTGCCAAGGATGGTCTAGATCAGTGGTTCTCAACACCAGTCTGCCGTTTGTTCAGGGAAAGCCCCTGGCAGGCTGGGCCGGTTTGTTTACCTGCCACGTCCGCAGGTTTGGCCGATCGCGGCTCCCATTGGCCGCGGTTCACCACTCCAGGCCAATGGGGGCTGCGGGAAGTGGCGTGGGCCGAGGGATGTGCTGGCCACCCTTCCCGCAGCCCCCATTGACCTGGAGCGGCCCGGCCTGCCGGGGGCTTTCCCTAAACAAGCGATGGACTGGCTTTGAGAACCACTGGTCTAGATAATACTTAGTCCTGCCTCAGTGCTGTGGACTTGACTAGAAGACCTATCAAGATCCCTTTTAGTCCTACATTGCTATGATTCTGTAACACATTGTGTCCTATGAAACAATTCATTTACTCTGATAGTCATGGCTATAAATGCTGCCTTCTCCAGTTTGTGTGGAAGTATCAAATAATCATAAAAAGATGAAACTAGAGTCAGTTGAAGGTTTTTCTACCCCCTTTCTCTAACTTGAATTTCTCATATTAGATACGTTGGAATTGTTTCATGTTATTAATGAAACAAGGATCCCTATTACTTTGAATAAAAAAGGTATTGCTTGGTGGACAGATAAAAACGTTAAATTCAGGAATCCTTCTGGAAATGCAAATAATTTGACAGCACTTTTCCAAGGTAAGATCTTAAAATTTTATATTGAAAACATGTCAAACACATTTTAATAAAAAGCTATTGTTACTGATTTTTTTCTTTCTGTACAGCATTGTAGTGGGCATCCTAATATAACTGTGCTGTGGTTCTGCTAAAAATACCAAGCTCAACACTTTTTTTGCTATGCAGAGAGATAGTTTCGGTCATTTTCAGACAATCATATGTGTGTTTATTTTACTGTAGTATTTTTATTAATGATTTAAAATCAGTACAGTCGTCGAAAGAAACTGATATTTTAAAATGCTGGAATTAGAACATGTTATAATTCCCTGGCTATCTTTCTGAAATTCTAGAAAATCTCTTAAGTAAAGTTAGTGGATTGTCAAGCAAAACATGTCATAAACATAAAAAGAAAAATCAAGGCACGCTATTCTAACTTTATGAACTCTCATGGGGAATTAAGTCATATTATAATCCATTTATAATATGGATTGTGTAAAAAACTTTGTACCACTCAGACTACTTTTCTTTTTTGCGTTTCACTTAGTTTTGAACCATTCTGACTTTCAAATTGTAATATGCTAGCAGAGTGTTGTAATTGTTGGGTTGCTAACTCTGACAAATCCTACAACTCTTTAGATACCAAAAGTACTTCACTAATCTTAAATTTAAAAATATTTCTATTGATAGGTTCTGTAAAAATCATTTTTTTCCAAAATCTAATTTTTTTGACTGAAATTGATCTGAGTATGATCCTCTGGCAACTGTATTAATTCCTTGCATTGATTTATAATTGGCCAAAAACTAAATTACTTTTGATTGCCAATATCTGGAAAAGCACATACACCTCAGAGTCTTAGAAAAAAGTTCAAGTGCACACCAGTATCTAAACCTGGAAGATGTACCTCTTATCTAAATATTTCTAGTTAATTGAATTCTTTAATTTTAGGCACAACAAAGCCTGTGAACTGGCCCAAACCAGTGTATATGCTGGATTCAGAATCAGACAACAATGGGTTCATTAATGAAGACTTTATTGTGTGGATGCGTACTGCAGCATTGCCTACATTTCGTAAACTATATCGCTTGATTGAGAGAAAGAATAACTTGCAGCCTACCTTACAAGCTGGAAAGTACTCTTTGGAGATCACATACAGTATCCTTTATTGAAACTTTTAAAACTGCTAATATCGGAATATTTGAATGTATGTATTTGTAGCTTTCAGAATTTGTCAGATGTCAGTATTCCAGTTTTGAGAACATGTAATATGAAACTTTTGTTTTGAGATGAATTCAGAGAAGCTAATGCAGAGGATGTTTGTGAATAATATCCTTTTTGTACTTTATTTTAATGGTTGCATAGCAGAACCACATAGCATGTCTACTTGTAAATTAATGAAATTATCAGCCCAGTTTACTACTTGTGCAAAGAACACTGCTCTGTTAATTGGTTGGAAGAGGGCAACATAGCATCTATAGTGGAAGTAACCAGTTTGATACTGTAAAGAGTGCCCAAATGAATCACTAAAGAAAAGCCTGGCATTTATCAGACACATGGAAATTTTCTGGCCTAAACATTTCACATTTTTGATTTGTCCTCAAATGAGAACTGGTCCTTAGATTGTTTTGTAGGCTTTTGAATTGGTTTTTGCTGTGGAAACTTGAAGCTCTGAGAATGCTGAGGTGTGCAGAGACTTCTTGATGGGTTTTGTCAAACAGCCTGAGTTTTTAAAGTTCATAAACAGTGAATAACTTTGGGTCAGGAAGAATGTAGGATATGCTTGTGGAGTCTGCAAGATGTTTAAACCAATTAATTTTTGGTTCCAGAAAATTAGAAGCTTCAGGCACACTCTAGTGTAATCTGTTTAGTTTATGAGTTTTCGGTTCCTGGTCAAGAAATTCAGAAGCATGCTGCTGCACAGATTTCAGGATATACAGATGCACAAGTAAATCCATCTTGTGGCAGCGTTAGTCCTGGCATTTCTAAATTTTGAGTGCTTGACTTTGTAACTTTAGTCATTTTCTTTTACTAGTTTTTGTACGGAATTATTTATTTAGTGGCAGTAATGTGCTAAGTCCTTTAGACAGGTATAAAGACAATCATTCAGTTTAATATTTCACTGAGGAGAGAATGATAGTGCCTTTTGAGGAGCTGGTGGAGGCATGGCAATGCAAGGGATGGATTCCAGGTACAGGGCTTGCATGGTAAACCCAGAGACAAAGCTGGAGGACACTCACGGCTTGTCTTCGCTGCAGAGTTAACTTGGGCTCTTACTTGAATATTGTCCCTAAGTTAGTTCCTGACTATATACACAGATCCTAGCTCTGTTATGATGCTTTCAGCCCTAGCTATCTGGCCTGTCTGGGGCTATATGCTAAAGCATAGTGCTGCTTATGCATGGTCTGGTAACCAGTTCATTTTGTAGTGTGGGCACAGGCAAATCAACTCAGGAATGACTAGTCTGCCATTGCCTTCCCACAATCCTCCACCAGGCTGTATATTTTTTTTCTCTGTCTCTTCTGCATTTCCTGGTCCTAACGGGCCAAGACAAGCTCCTCATGCAGCTCCAAGAATGTAGCCTTCCTCATGTGGAAATTCTGGCCTCTGCTCATCATCCCAGCTCTCCATGACAATATAGTCCCATCACTCTGCTTGTGGTTCTGCTCCAGAAGCATTAGTCAGGTTGGAGGGATTCCATAGTGTTTAAAACCTGCATCAGCTATCTCCAATACTCCATGTCTGCATTCAGTCTTTGTGATCTCCTTAGCAAGGCACACTGCTGCATTCTCAGGGTGAAAAGCTGCTGTCAAAATGCCCCCTACCAGTGTCATGCCTGCATCTGCTTCCTGTTTCCAGAATGAGAGTTGCATTAATGCCAGCCGCAGATGTGTTGGATTCAGGCCATGCTACAAGTTAGAATGGAGACTACAGACAGAAATCTAGCATGTGACAGACTGGAAATGGTTTACTTCTGGTGGGCTAAGACCACTTCAGCACAGGTGCCCATAAAGGACCGACAAGTTTTTCCACAAAACACTGTGGAAATAGTTCATAGAGCCGTACAGCATTAAACCATAGGGTATTACCCCAGAAGTCTTAATGCTTCACATGTGAAAGTACAGCTCCCATGTGGACACAGTCCAGTGGATGCACTCGAGTATAGCTGTGCGCTGTCACCTTTTGTGGCTAGGTCTGTGCCGCTAATCATGTCCAGATTCAGTCATCTCAGTTACTTCTGCAGTGAAGACATACTAAAAAAGGGGAAGTAAAGCAGGCGGTTTGGGTGTAGTGAAGGGAGAAAGAAAGACTGTGAAAAGAATAGGAAATAGATGGGAGCCTTGAATGTGAAGGACCATCTCCCTCCACTTGTGGAAACTGTAGTCATTGGAGCTATGACAGTTTACACCAGCTGAGGATCTGCTCCATGACATGCTTAAAATTGATCTTGAAGGTGAATGAAAGTCAGTGAAGGGGTTTAATGAGATGGAAGTGGTCAGAGCAGCAGGTAAAGTAGATGACAGACTGAAGGTAGGTGAGAATCCAAAATACCAGACAGGAGGAAGAAAAGGGAGTTGCAGAGGTTGATATTAAAAATTTAGCAGGGTCTGTACAAGAATTCTTAATCATTTGTGCGACAAGCAGCTGTGTACTGGTCAGTGAGAGCCTTATTGTAATTATCCTTATTGTTGTCTTTCATTTTGCTGCACAGTAGTGGAAAGTACATGAAAACTGAGAATGAAAATTAGGTTACTAAGGAAATCAGATATTGGGGGAACGGTGTGTTACATTCTGTTACCAACTGAAATGATCTCAAGTTGTAATATGCCAGCCATACTTCTAATTAAATGACTGTAATTAGGGTGAATTTTCCTATATATTCTTCAGATTACCCTGTGTACAGTTTCGATGGACGGAAACGGATGATCCTGAGCACCATATCATGGATGGGAGGCAAAAATCCATTTCTGGGAATTGCTTACATCACTGTGGGGTCCATATGCTTCTTTCTAGGAGTTGTGCTGCTAGTCATTCATCACAAATATGGAAATCGAAACAATAGTGCGGACATTCCCAATTAATTTTGCATTCTGAAAACAAATGTACTGCATGTGCATCAAGGCCAGTCCAGAGTGGACCCAGTTTTTGATAGCTTAATCTGCTCATATTGCTTCTGAAGCTGGGTGCAAAACTATCTCTAAAGCCTTTATTCCCCTTGCTGTGGATTGACTTTTGAAAATGACGGGTATTTAATTAACTCTACTAATTTTATCTATGCTAATTGCATAAATGGTTTTCTGACGTTTGCCTCTTCCTAGGCAGGCTATATGATGCATATAGCCCCTATTCCCTTAATGCATCTGCTGCTTGTTTCTGTGCTATGTAATATATCCATATGATACTGTATGTATAGGTTGTGTGGAGAAAGGAGACTGTTTTAGGATATAGTATAAGTTGTTAACCATTCACAATGTCAGTGCTATTGAAAGGAAAAATAAGTCTTTAGTGTTTGTTCATGTCACTGTATTGTGTGCATAGGCTTTATGTTCCTTGCTGAGATGTTTAATATATTAAAGTTATAAAATATTTCCTGTGTCAAGTGTAAGTGTGTTACACATTAAATCTTCATAAAGTGCTGTTATAAATTCACATAACTCTGTATTTTAGATATCAGATATGCCTGGCATGGGAACTAACATCCACTGAAAATGTCAGGAGATCTGTCAACTGACTGTATGGGTGAATTTCCAAGTCTAGTTTCAACTTGAAAACAGTTGTTGAGATAAAAAAGCAACTTCGTTCTGAATATTTCTTTTGCTTGAAGTCCTATTTAGAACAGTTTTACCCATTGTACTTGTGATCTTGCTCTTCATGAGCAGCTTGAAGGTATTAATCAAGAAAAAATGAAGGAGTTCTTTCCAATCATAAATCTGGGTGGAATAACTATCTTGCTGGTGGAGGAACTTCCTTGTTCTGCTCTCGTTAGAAACGGGGTTTAGATGTTCAGAGCAGGCTTTGTTATAGTAAATCTAATGTAATATTTGGTTCCCTCATTATTTGGAAAAAATAAAACTGAAATTTAATTTTGAAGGTAAGTGTTCAAATCCTAAACTGAAAGAATTCATAGTTCTTGAAATGACTCCCTTTTCTTTTTACATAGATTGAGCTTGCCATGAAAGTCATTTAAATATCTGTTACAGGTAGTGTACGCTATTCCCTCGAATCTCAATATTAAAACCAGTTTCACTTTTTTTGGTTCATTCAAAGCTAACTGTAAATTGTAAGCTACTGCATTCTAGTAATTTTAGATAATGCACATTATACATTGTAATTTAAATGGCAGAGGTTACTTTACATGTAACTGGCTTGATAAAGTATCTGAATATTCAATATTGAATAAATGCTGCAAATTATTTATGTTGAAAATTTTGTCCTTAAACTTTTTTTTGCCTGGATTAATATGTATTGTATTCTGCTGAATAAGATGTACAGTTTCAATGCAGTTTAGCCACGTTTTAGTATTTCTGAAATCATATACACTTGTGGCAAAAAAACTTTGTTCATGTTTTAGTAGCTTAACTTTTAGTCAGTTTCTGAAATACACTGTATTAGTATATCAGTTTTGAGGAGATCTGACCATTTTTTACTGAATTGCTTGTTTCCTTGTGTAGTATTTCAAGTTAGCAGTGAAAATATTCCTTTGTATACCATGTGAAATGAGATTAAACTAATAATTTAGATAACATACAAACTAACATTTATTTTATGTACTTGACTGCACCATAGAATGTGGCAGTGCAACACATGATGATTTTATGTCCAAAAGAACAGTTTACTATTTTTTGAAAGAGTTGGTTTCATAAATGTCATTGTCGTTACAGAATTGGGGCATATAACTTTGATTAATATCTCCACACAGCATAATAGAAAAGCTGCACAAAAGATGTTAGGTTAAAAAAAATCACTTTAAACTATAGAGTAGTTGCTAGATCTTATTCACTGAACTAGTAAGGGCACTTATCTCAATTGCTGGTTATTTAAATATTTTGATTTTTATAAATGTTTTTTTTGGCTGGTATTTGTCAACTCAATAAAGGTAAACTGAATATATTTTGCTGTGTTCATAATCAATATGTTAAATATAAGGAGTGCTTCCTCTTGAGTTACATGCAACAACTGAAATACCATTTCAGGTGAAGAACTGATTCTAGCAATATGTAAATATCACTTTTTGACTGGTTTGAGAATATTTTCTTAGGGCAATATGTTTCCTCTGGTGTGCAGAATATGTAACTTCATTCCCTAATCTTGCTGTTACTCATGACTGTCTCTTTTCCCCCTGTATTCCCCTGCTGAATGTAGCCTGTTTGTCCCTCTTTGGAGGTCTTCTTAACTAAGTGGATCAGGTGAGGTACTTTTTGCTCTTCTTGTCAGAGTTAAGAAAGAGATTTCCCTTTGTTTGAAGTAAATTCACTGCTGTACGTTCTCAATCTGAGGACCCAAATTAAAAAGTAAAACTTACATACCATAGTAAAGGAAAGACAACTTGAATAACATGAAAGCATATAATGCAAAGCTACAACAAACCTTGGTGAGTAGGTAAAAGGCCTTGGTTCAGACTCTATTAGTAATCTCATAGAGAGAGGGTTCAGATATGTTCTTTCTATAAGTAAAAGCTCCTAGTTTCACTTCAGCAAGTAGCTTCTGTGGTTCTTACCTTGTTTCTCTTCAGGTTGTCAGCATGCAGCCTGTTTATAGGTTTAATTCCAGTGTCCCTGATTGACCCTTCCCTGGGCAATGTCAGTCTCCAGGATGTTAGTGTGTTTCTCTGGAGTCCTTCCACTTATACTTGGATGTGAGCAGGTGTGACCTTGTTCATTATATCAGGCACCCTACACAATGGTATTGGCAGAAGTGTCCTCTCAGAATGTCTGTTCCTCATTTAACTACCATTGCACATTTTCTAAATTCCTCTAATTTTGGCATAGCTGAGACAGTGCACCCAGTGCAGGGGAGTAGTGAGTTTCCTTGAAGTTCGTTGTTGACATGAAAGTCCGCTTATGAACCAGAATCTTCCCTTGAAAGAATATTTGGAGAGACTGTGAGGCCTCTCTCTCCTTTTGCTCCTGTTCTCCAAACAAGTTCTCTATGTTGTAATATCAGGTCCTTAAGCTCTCTCTGGATCTCTTGTTAAAGCCCACTTATTTGTAACCAAGCAGATTTATGGGCAGCCATCCAATTTCAAGCAGTGGTCCTATAAGTATCTCCCACATCAGAAGTTACTTGAACCTTGGGTGAGTTGGGAGCTGCTAACCCTACTTGTTTGACCCAACGCTCTGTATTACCAACTTCAAACTTGGAGGCCCTGAGTGTCAAAAGCCAATGAATGGCATGAGCCTTTTAGCAGGGGGAAGAGGCAGAGTATGTGGCACTGGTACTAAGTCTTGGCCTGGAGTACTCTTGCCCAATTTTGGTTTTAGCTCTGTGAGTTTATCTTTAGAAGCATGGAAGGCCAGCCTCAGGCTCACTATTCAGGAGTCTCCTTGGGGAGAAGCAGATGCATGTATTAGCAGCAAGTGACATCTGCATACACTAATATATCCCTACATAATTTGGCTCACGAAGGCAGATACTACAATGAGCATTATTATTAGTATTTGGCATTGTTCAGCTGCAATGAGAGGATGTAAATCTGCTAACTGGTCTTCCTTGGCTGCTATACCTGCAACAGAAAAAAGAAAAGGGTAACTGGATACATAGTGTGCTGGCCCAGAGACCACTTCTGCTGAGATAAATGACTACCAGAGAGAGGTGCTATGCCCCACAATGCAGGATTGTGGAGCCCATGTAGAGCAGGCCTAAGAGTACCTAACCAAACTTGAGGCACTAGTGTCTTCAATGCTTGTTTTCCAAAGAACAGCTCACAACTGTACTGTACTTTCTATTTTCGTAAGTCAAAATTGGGGGCACCAGGAAGAGCCTCTGATCTGTAGAGGCCCTATAACAAATACATGCCAGAAATTGGAAACTTGCGTGGCTGGTCCCATAGAACCATGAGGGATTTTACATAGCTGATAACTGGAGGCTGATGTATCTCAGGTATATTTAATGTACCCCTTGCAATATCTCTGGGTGGATTAAGGGGCCACCTCAACTCATGCCTCTCTCCACTGAAGATGCTGCAGTGACTCCTGTGGGTGTATTCAGAATAAATTAGAGGTTCAAATATGTGGTGAAGTTTTTCAAAGACTAATTTATACCACCTCATTAAAATCACACTCGAAAGAAAATATTACAGTCCTTTTGAACTTCTGTACTGATTTAAACAGGGGTAAAGATCAAATACAAAAGAACTGCAGTCCATTTCACAGAAACATATTAAGTGAAAGCAAGAGACAGAAGTTCGATGTAACGAATAGGTGGAAATTCTCTAGCAAAAGTGAAGAAATAACCACTGTTGCCAAAAGTCTCATTGCATTCTTCCCCCACCCTTACAAAAGTGCCTGTGCTCTGACTTGTAGAGACCATCTTCAGGGATGAGGAAAACAGTTTGATCTCCAAGCTCATTTTATCCTTGGCCTCTATCCTGTAACAAAGTTGTCAAATGTGGTGGTATCATTTTGTAAGAGGGAACCACTTTCTGCTGGAATTGTACAAGTAAACTGTTCAAATGCAGAGCATTCTATAGCTCCCAGGGAGCAATAAATGAAGATTCCACTCCACTGTGCTATAAATGCACTTCTGTTGCACCTTACCAGAGTGTGCTAGTGTAAGGGTGATTGTTTTGGTAGAATAGGAACTGGACTGAGATAAATTACCACCTTATCCATCATCTGGTTTTGTTTGGAGCCATATTTAAATGTGACCTCTGTCCCTTGTCTCCTAGTTAAACACAATGTAACCTGTGCTTAAAAACTATATTGTAAAAGGTGAGGTCTCATCCATCATTTGAGATTAGGATAATTGCTGATGCAAAACCTGCTATGGCAGTTTGATACAATCTGATTCTTCTTTATAGTTTTATTTTCTAACCAATGAGAATGAAACTAAATAAGTGGGCGTAAAAGGCTGAGTGAATAATTACCTGAATCTAAGAAGCATTTTTGCAAAATGAATGGCTTGAAATTACTACATCAGATTTTCAAGGAACACCTTAATTGCTCTGAGACAAAACTGTGGGGATTGTAGTTGACAAACCCTAGTTTCTGTTGAAAGGATGCCAGGAAACAAAAGAAATGGCCTTTGAATATCTGTGAAGGTGGAGAAACAGCTGGTTTTTTGGATGTAAGTGAGCAGGCTGCATGGTATTGCAACTAAATTGGTTCTGCTCAACTTTTACATGCTAAGTTGATGAAATATTTTAAATAAGATGGTGTTCCTCAGTGGGTCACAGCTGAGAATGCCAAATTCAGGACAAACTGCTGAGAAATGGGGCAGACTCACCCCAAACTGGCGGTGGGTTCTATCATTATACCATATAAAGCCAGTAACAAAAGGAAACTTCTCTATCACCACACTGGTTAACAAGAAGCCAAAAACAGTCTCCTTAGGCATTCCAGCCCTTGGCTCACCCCTCAGACACTGGACTTTCTGATGAGTGGTTACTGAAAACCAATGTACTTGGATAGAGAGTTCTTCCAATCCCAAGAAATCAGTCACTTAACCAGGTATATATATACACACACAGATCTGACCCCATAATCATGCTGATGCCAATCCTAAAAACTAAAGGTTTTGTAAAAGAAAAGAGTTATAAATGGTTAATAGATCATTATAAGTTATACATACAAGTGATTTCAAAATTCTTATATCTGGTTTGAAGCAGTAATTGAATAACCTGCTAACTTGCAAAAGTCTCTCTGGAATTACCCAAACAGATTGGAGGTCATCAGTCCTTGTTTAAAGCTTCCTTGTTAGAAATCCATTTCTGAGAAATGAAGCATGAAATAAAGACAAAATGGAGATATCTCAGGGGTCCTTTTATATCCTCTGCCATGTGCATGGAATGTGGCTGTCCCAAACAAAGCCCACAGCCCAGGTGCATGGAAAATTACTGGCCCAAGATGGAGTCCAGGGTCAAATAAGCATACCACATGCCCTTCCATGCTTTGATGACTCACAGTGGCAGCCAAACCCATATTTTTTCTGAGGCATCCGCAGGAAAGGCTTAGTGAGTGAAATCAATTTCTTCAATGACCCATTATGAGCTGAGTGCCCTTAATGGGCCATCAGCACATAACTGTCTAGCCCTAGTATAAATTTATCACGGGGCTGTTACCCAGAAATACAACATGTGTAAGATACCAGTATATAGCCAAATATTCATAACTTCAGCTACAAAGATGATTCATGCATATAAACAGTATAAGCATACTTAGCAAATCATAACTTTTCCATTAACACTTTACATGGCATACTTTGTACAAGATTTGTTGCAATTGTATAATAGTGGCAATATCAATTATATAAATGGTCATACTCAATCATACAGCATAACAGATGGGCACAGTGGAACAGCAACCTGATTTCAGTAGTTCTCTAATGAAAAGTGGGAAGGAGGAAGAGATTTGGAGTGCAAGAATCTTAGAACAAAGAGAAGCTATGAGATTGCTACCAGTCTTGCGCATGAGGCTCTAAGATTAAAAAGTTTGACTTCACAAACAATAGGTGCTTGTAAATTTGGGGACAGACCCTTGATGCCCCTTCTAGTTACTTTCTGCTGCTCAGGAAGTGTCCTAAAAAGGGGAAATCTGTGGAACATGTGGGTGGCATAAAACCTTTTTGCCACTGTTTTCCTCTCCCCAGGCTTATGGAGCAGAAGTTCTTTGGATAGTGTCCCTCTGGGTGCTCCCCAGGTGCCTTTGTTCAAAGATTTTTGCTAGCAGTGCCTGTTTGGCCTGCATATGTGCTCTAAACATCCTCATGCCCCATACCAAGGTTATATGGGGTTGTGCAGGCAAACTGCCTTCAGTTCTTTCTCAATGGCCTTTGGCCTGAGATGGAACTTCAGGCATCCTCGCTTCACTTATCCCTAGCATACGTTAGATAGATAGTTGTTGGGGTTTGTTGTTTCCCCTTTGTTTTTTCCTACACCTCCCCCCGCAAGACGT